TCATAAACCTTTCTTCTTTCGTTCCGTCTCTATTTTTTACGCGTTTCATGAAGAGAGTTGAATTATCATTTAGCTCTGACACCAAATATCTCGGAGTAAATTCGTTCATGTCATTTGGATGATATGCTATTAAATCATATCCCTTAGCGAGCTTGTATTTTCCAGGTTTGAAATTATATCCCCTTTGGTGCAGAGCCATAAAGCTAAATAGGTTCGGGTCAGTATTTCCATCCTTGAACTTTCTAATAGCTTCTTTATATCTGTCACTAAAGTCAATACTATCTGGGTAACCATAGTCTTCTTTAAGCATTTTTAAGAATTCTTGGTTTCCTTGTTCTCTACTTCTTTTATGTCCTTGCTCTGTTTGTGGTTGTTGTTGTGCAGGGTTTTGAACTGTTGGTTGCTGTGCTGGTTGTTGTGCAGGGTTTTGAACTGTTGGTTGCTGTGCTGGTTGTTGTGTTGGTTGTTGTGCTGGATTTTGAACTGTTGGTTGTTGTGTTGGTTTTGGTGCATGCCTGTGTCTGTGTCCATGTGACGATGTAAATGTTTTAGGTAGTCCTGGTGCAGGTGCTTCTCTTGGAGGGTTTGGTGGTATATAAATTCCAACAGCTGGTATATAAGTTCCACCAGCTGGCACATATGTTCCATCTGCAGCGTAATGTCCTACCTGACTTTTCGTTCTTAAGAAAGCATTTACTAGGTCTGTTTTGGTCTGTTGTAACTCTTTTTCTTGACTTTTCACAACAGTTGCTCTAACGGCGTCATAGGCACTTTGAACTGCCTGTCTCGTTGCTGCATCTGTTATTTTCGTCATATTTTGTGCTACTTCTTTTAACTCTTTGTCGAAACCTTCAGACTTCAGTTTCTTTCCAGATGAGAAGTCGTTCACTTGTTTCACCTTACTATGAAGAGCTTCGAAGGCGTTCTTAAAGTCAGCATTTGTTAAAGCTTCATTTGAACTGTCTTCATCCGCTTGTATTTTGTCCTTATTGACCCTATGAGTGGGCTGCTTTAGCGTTGGCTTGGGCATCTAACCAGTCATTGTTAGCTTTTTATATATTCTGCGCTTTTCATTGCCTTTTGCATAGCCGCGTCGTTTTTTTACTTTCTTGTGCTAAGTTTTCATACTGTACGGTTTGGTTTTGCAACTGTAAAAGTTTTTTCTGCCTTTACATTTGCTTCAACTTCTTTTTTATACTCATCGCTATCCATATATGTCTTCAGGGCTTTTTGTTTTTATCTCTTCATCTTTCAGTATTTTATATTGAGTAGTATGGTTTTTCAAATTTATGACATCTTGTTCCATTTTTGCTACTTCTGCTGCTTTTTCTGACACTTTTTTTCGCATATTCCTCTGTACTTAGTTCTTTCAGTTGTTCTTCTTTCTTCTTTTTCTCTACGTTTAACTCATTGAGTTTCTTGTGTGTCTGTCATATTCTAGTTTCTTTTCGTTTTCACTTATTTGCTTCTGTATGTCTATGTTTGACTTTTTGACATCTGATATTTGATTTTTGAGTGAACTCAAATTCATTTGACTTTGAGGGTTATAAGCTGTTCCGTCTGCAGCTCCACCATAGCCTGCATTTTCGCTAAAAGTGCCGCTCTTAAACCTCCACTCTGTGCACCAACAACTCGGTTTAAAAGCATAGGATTGCTTGACATTTGTTGCAACATAGTGGGGTCATTCAGCATTTGTTTGTTGCAAACTGTTGTTGTGGTGTCAGTCTTACTATTGGATGTTTCAAATGCTCTCTTCCTCTTACGTATATTCTTACGTAGCTTACGTGGCATTTTAAGTGAAGTTAAAAAGCGGTTTTTGACAGATGTTTATATGACACTTCTTCGTAAAGACTTTGTTGAGATTTCTTCGTAAATGAGTGTAAATGACCCAAAAATATATTTTAGGTGAAGAGGTGAGATTTCACCTCTTTTTTCACCTCATTTCTCACCTCTTGAATTTTCATGAATTTCTTCGTAAAGACTTTGTTGAGATTTCTTCGTAAAGACTTTGTTGAGATTTCTTCGTAAAGACTTTGTCAAGACTTCTTCGTAAAGACTTTGTTAAGACTTCTTCGTAAATGACCAAAAATATATTTTAGGTGAAGAGGTGAGATTTCACCTCTTTTTTCACCTCATTTCTCACCTCTTGAATTTTCATGAATTTCTTCGTAAAGACTTTGTTAAGACTTCTTCATCTAATTTCTCATGAACTTTCTTGTCTATGTTTTGTCAAGATTTCATCGTAAAGACTTTGTTGAGATTTCTTCGTAAATGACCCTAGTAGTATATTTTTGGTGTAAATTTCATGAAAATTCAAGAGGGTGAAAAATTAGGTGAAAAAACAGGTGAAATCTCACCTCTTCACCTAAAATATATTTTTGGTGTAAATTTCATGAAAATTCAAGAGGGTGAAAAATTAGGTGAAAAAACAGGTGAAATCTCACCTCTTCACCTAAAATATATTTTTGGTGTAAATTTACGAAGAAGAAGTCTTGACAAAACATTTACGAAGAAGAAGTCTTGACAAAACATTTACGAAGAAGTCTTGACAAAACATTTACGAAGAAGAAGTCTTGACAAAACATTTACGAAGAAGAAGTCTTGACAAAACATTTACGAAGAAGAAGTCTTGACAAAACATTTACGAAGAAGTCTTGACAAAGTCTTTACGATGAAATCTTGACAAAGTCTTTACGATGAAATTCATGAAAATTCAAGAGGGTGAAAAATTAGGTGAAAAAACAGGTGAAATCTCACCTCTTCACCTAAAATATATTTTTATTGAATTCTGTATAATATTCTGAGTAATATGACAGATGTTTATATAACACTTTCTCCGGTTTATAGGACCTCTCTCATATTCTATCTTGTCATATCAAAACTCATAGTCATGTTTGTCCTCTAAGACTTCATTTATACTAAACATCTTCGGGGCTAGAAGGCACGAAGTGCCTGGAAGCCCCACTCCCTTTTTTTTTTTTTTTTTTTTTTTTTATATATTGGATTTTTTGATGAAATATAAAATTTTATATTATTATTATAAATAAAGGCTGTTCCATCAATATTTAACAAGTTTTCCGAAATGAAAAATGATTGAATTGAACAAGATACAAATGCAAATGGCCCAATAAACTTTAAATCGCTATTTTCATTGATTTTGATATTTTTTAAGTTAAAACATTCAATAAATGCTCCTTCATTAATATAAACAACACTAATTGGAATTGTGATCTGATGAAAATAACAACCAGCAAAAGCATAGTTATCAATAATTATTAAATTGCAATCTTCTTGGAATTTGATATTAAAAAGAGGAGACCCAGAAAATGCAAATTCATGAATGTATTCGACTTGTATTGGAATTTCAACAGACATTAAACGATATGATTGATATATATTCTTAAATAAGTCATTTTGTGGAAAACAAAAATTATTTATTGTTGCCTGATCAAATGCAAATGGTTCGATTGTTGATAACTTTTGAAGCAAAGATAAATTTATATTGTCCAAATTGCAAGAATAAAATGAATACTCACAAATCTTCTCAAGGATACAATCATCAGGAAAAATAATATTTTTGATACGGCTTTCACTAAATGCATATTGATCAATAATCTTTATTGATGAAGAAATTACAAGATATTTAACTTCTGATTGATAGAATGAATATGGACCGATTACTTCTAAAGAATTAGGTAATATAATTTCTGTTTGATATGGAAAAATTCCTACGAATCTTTTTTCATCATAAGATAAAATGCTATTATTCACTATAATAAAATTTTCGTTTAGTGGATCTAAATGAATTTCTTTCAGATTATAACAATATAAAAAAGCAGACATGTTAATGAATTCGATGCTAGGTGTAATATAAAAGTTAGTAATTCTAGTGTTTTCCAATAAAAGACCTGGTATAATAGTCAATCCACAATCTGAAGGAATAAATATATTATTTAGATTATAACAGTAGGAAAAAACTCCCTCGCCTAACTCTATTAAACTACTTGGAAGAGTTATGTTCTGAATTGGACAATTTTTAAAGGCATAATCCCTTATTATTTTTAAATTTGAACAATTATTTAAATTAATGGATATTAATTGACAAGAATCAAAGGCATAAGCACCAATTTCTTCTAACAATAAACATTTCTCAAATTCAAATTTATATAAGTAAGAACAATATGAAAATGCGCGACTATTTATTATCTTTAATTGTGATGGGCTGTTGAATTTGATTTCACGAACTGAACTATGAAAATTTGAGACACTATCCCCAATTACTTCATAAAATTCTGATATAATAATTACATCTTGATTAGATGGTAGTGTATTTAAGATCCTACTCGGATCAGAATTCGAAACTGTCATGTAATTCTAATTAAAATTAACAAAATAATGATATTTTAAACAAGTATGATATGATAATATTTTTCAATTTTCTTCAAGTTTTTACAAACTCAAAGAACTCGAATATTTAAAATATTGAATTAAAAAAAATGCAAAAATTTTTCTTTGATTCTGATACAAATTGAATTGGCAATAATTTTTATGGTTAATTTCAATAAAATTTATCTCTGATCTCATAAAACAAAATAACAGGGTTTTATGATGCCAAGATTTCAGAACCTCTGTTCAAATTTCTGAAAAAGGTTATATACTTTCAATTTTTAATAACCTTAAAATCTGATCAAACTCTTCAATTGATGAGTATAATCTAAAACATTCTGAATTATATTTCCTATTTTTTAGAAAATAAAACATCTAATTCTTACAATAATGTGATTAAAAGAAATAATTCTTTAACTTTTGATTATCCTTGTAATTCGGAAATACTCTGTGAACCTTATATTATCTTATTTCCAAAAGGATACTTTAAGATAGAACTTTGGGGTTCATCTGGTGGAAATGGAAGAAAAGAAGATACAAATGTTTTGAGAAATGATTCAGGAGGTCATGGCTCTTATGTTTCAGGAGATATTGCCTTCATGCATCCAAAAAAGATGTTCCTGTATTTGGGTGGTAAAGGCCAAGATCAAGTAATTAATTATCATTCCAGTATTCCGGCATATGGCGGCTGGAATTTCGGAGGAAAAGGTGGCATTGATTTCAATGAGACTAATGTCATTCCTGAAAATGGAGCTGGTGGCGGGGGTGCTTCTGATCTTCGTTTAGAATATTATGATATCAATATTAATGAATCAGATGAAAACCTTCTAAATAAGTCAATTGAAAGCAGAATTATCGTTGCTGGTTCAGGAGGTGGAGCTTGCTCAGGAAATCAATATGATTGGGGATCTCCAAATGGATTTCCAGGAGGAAACACAAGTGCGATTTCCAATGGACCTTTCACATTCGGAGGAAATCAAACTGTTGGCACTTTAGGAAAAGGAAAAGAAGGGAGATCTTCATTTAAAAATAAACAAGGAGGATCTGGTGGAAACGGTAGTGGCTATAGAGGAGGATATCAATTGCTACCCGTGACAACAAACCGTGGATTTTATCAAGTAGGAGGATCTGGCGGAAGCTCATATGTAAGTGGTCATTTAGAATGCATCAGTCCGAGTCATGCAGATGATAAAGAATCTAATAAAATCAACTCCATTCATGAGTCAGGTCTTTATTTTACAAATACTGAGATCATTAGTGGCAATGATCTCATGCCTAATCCATATGATGACAGTTACATAAGAGGTCATGTTGGTAACGGAGTTTGTCGTATTACTGTTCTTTTTTATGCGATATGTGACACATGTAATTATAGACAAAACTTGCATATTTCTTTATTTCTTTTTATATGTTTGATTGAAATAAATTTGACATGATTCAATTGTATTCAAAATTTGTGATGTTACAACAATATCCGAAACAATTCTATTGTTCTCTTTTTTAGAGAAGAAAAGAATAAATAGTCCCTCAAATTGATTATTATCTATTAGGTACAACAAGTGAAGCACAAGTTAATGTCACAAATTCCAAAAATTCCTTTATTTTTAGATATCCTTGCAAATCTGATTACAAATGCGAACCATATGTTCTCAAATTCGAGAAAGGATACTACAGAATTGAACTATGGGGATCTTCTGGTGGTAATGCTCGAGAAGAAAGTCTTGAAACAATACGACTTGATTCAGGTGGTCATGGATCATATGTCTCATGAAATATTGTTTTAAAGCGTCCAACAAAGATGTACCTATATCTTGGTGGAAAAGGCCAAGACCAAACTGCAGACATTCCTCATAAAACTCAAGCATTAGGTGGCTGGAATTATGGAGGAAATGGCGGAGCTGAATATAATTCTATGGAAGCAGGATATCCAGAAAATGGAGCAGGCGGAGGAGGTGCTGTAGACATACGCTTAGACTATTACGATATAAATATTGATGATTTCAATGAGAGTGCTTTGAATAAATCAATTGAGAGCCGAATAATCGTCGCCGGATCAGGTGGCGGGGCAGTTTCAGGAAAATCTGTTGTTTGGGGTTCTTCTGAAGGTTTTCCAGGAGGAAACATTTCAGCAATATCTAATGGACCATATACAATCAGAGGCTCCCAAATTTTAGGAAAATTAGGAATGGGAAAAGAAGGATTAAATTCTGCCCAAAATCAAGGAGCTTCGGGAGGATGTGGAAGTGGATATCGTGGCGGATATAATGAATTACCTTTTACCTCCAATACAGGTTATTACAAAATTGGAGGTACGGGGGGAAGTTCATATATCAGCGGACATCCTGGATGTATAAGTCCTTCGCATTCAACTGATTTAGTTTCAAATAATAAAAATTCAATTCATGAGTCTGGTTTAGTTTTTGATAATACTAAAATTATTAGTGGAAATGAGACTATGCCAAGTCCATTTAATAGTTCTTCGATCCAAGGAAATGTCGGAAATGGAATTTGTCGAATAACAATTCTTCCTTCTTTCATAACAATCTTGCGAAAGAAGATAGCCACAAATTTGTATTATTCATTATTTATGACTTGTATGATAAATAAATAATACATATTATGAATGAAAATTACAAATCGATTATTTCCAACAATATGTTTGTAGCAGATTTATGAAAGTATAAGGTTTTTATGGATTGAGAAAAAGTGAATTTTAACCTTAAATTATAATGTATTTTTTATGATTTTATTTTCAGATTTAAAATCCTAAATAGGGATTAAAGTATATATAATTCACGATATTGTTATTGCTAAATATAGGAATGATTACTATCTACGGATTTTTGAACATAATTATACAATCCAAAAATGTTTCAACAATGAATCCGAAGCATTATCTTCAGATATACCAGGAAAATATTCCATTTTATCAACTCTTAATGAATCTAGATATGTTTCTGGAGAAAAATATAACTTTATTATTGAATATCCAAATGAAAACAAATACAATAGCTGGAACCAGTCATTAAATCCTGTTTATGATCGAGATTCATCATTAAGATTGACAGCTGAAGGATATAATCAAACAGAAATCTTCGCAGAAATGGATACTGATATTAACCATTTTGGAGGTTTAGTTTATAACAATTATAATCATTCTCTCCTTGAAGGACAACCAAACATATCTAATTGGTTCTTTGCAATTGGAATGTACTGTTCTTCAAGATCAAATTGGCTCAATAACGCAATACCTGCAAATGGCGTTGGAACCAATAGAGTTCGACTTTTTGCAAAAATAAATTCAATTGAAATTCCAGCAGGGTATTTGATTGAAAGACATGTTTGCACAATTAGATTTCATTATTCAATATCATATTTTCAAACTTTTGTTTTATCAATTCAAGTTTTTATTTCAATATAAAATAAAACATTTTAAATGATTTTTATACAAAATTATATATAAGGTGGTCGTTTCTGGTTGATAAATCCAAAATCTGGGAAAAGCCAGTGGGGAAAAAATAATCTTGTAAAAAAATCGGGCCTCCGGCGGCAGCGCTAGCCCTTCGGGCGCGTCGCCGCCTCCGGCCATGAACATCACAAAGTTAATGTCGCCATTTATGAAATATGCCCTATATTATTTTTCCTTTTTCTTTCCTTTCCTCCTTTTTCCTTTTATTTTCTCCTTCTTTTTCTGTTTTTTTCTTTATTCATTGATTTTCTCTTGGTATTTCGAAATTTTATTCAAATAATTTAACAACTTTTATAAACCAATATTATAACTTTATTCATTTATACATTATCTACCAATTTTACACTTCAAATATTACAGTTTTTTAAAGTGGATCAAATTTCATTTTATTAAGATATTAAAGTTTTGGAATCAGTATTATTTTGAAAAAGCACCTAAGTTATTTAATTAAAATGGTATTATTCAAATATTGAAATTTAAATATAATTTGATTTGCTCAATTTTTTAAATCTGTAAGTACAGTTTTGTTTGAAGTAACAAAAAAATGATATATGCAGTTAGCGAAGTAAATTTACTAATAATAAAAAAGTTTGCTCTAATTCAATTAATTTAAACCTTTGGTAATGATAGAACATGCATAATATTTAAAATATGGATGAAATTCTTTGTATAAAGGTAAGTTGATGAGTTTTTTTCGAATCTGGGTTTAAAATATCTGAAGGTAAACAATTGATCTTAAGTGTTTATGCTGTATACCAAGAATTACATTAGATTCATTGTTGACTATTTGTTCAAATCTTTCCCATTCAATCACAGGATACTGAATCTGATGGAAAATCATTATTACTGTGAAATTCGCATTGATGTCATATGATGATCCATTGCCCGAGAAGTTCGGTGTATCCCAAGTATATGAGGAACACGTATGTTTTTCCCCAGATTTTGGATGAGGTATGGCGAAAATTGAGAACTTTTGTAAAAAAATTGAGAGATTTTGTAAAAAAAATTGAGAGGAAAATCTGGTGAAAGAATCACAGATGTGGTGATACCAGAAGGTATGGGAATTCGATGAATACAGGATAGTATGCTCCTATATGAATAGTAGAAACATAATCCATTATCAAATCATCCGGGAAACAACTTTTTCTTCTCCAAAAATATTTTGAAAATGAAAAAATAAAAAAAAAATTTATTACCATAAAAACCAGATTTTATTACCTCGGGGAACGTTTCCCAGCACTTTTCCACCAGAATCGGCCACCTTATTATATATATATATATAAACAATATACCTCAAATTTTTCTGAGCTTTGTCTCAGAAAAAATTTGAGGTATATTCGCTATATCATACCATTCAAATTGTTTTGGGATTATGATTTGATAGAAAAAAGGGTCCCAAAAAATTTGAATGGTTGGATATATATATATTATTGTATAACATAATTTTTTTTTCAAAGTTTAAAGCTAATATCTATGGAGACATTAAAATTTACATTTATACATAATTATTTACGACATTGCAAAAGAGAAATGAGTGAGATTTTGGTTTTGAGATGTGATATGGGAATAATAAGTGTTTGGTCATCAATAATATTGATGCAACGAATGCAGTGATATGGAAGACCTGAGCGTCTGAGAATGATAATGAACGAATGAAGATGATTTTCAATATCAAGACATTCTTCAAGTGAATAACATTGTTCGAACGAGAACTCATAAACAGATGAGACACAAAGAGGGAAGTTGATCCGTTTAAGATTAGTGCAGTTGAAAAATGCATATCGATTGATTGTTCGAACTGTGTTGCTGTTGATAAAGACTGTTTCAAGATTGTATGAATTCATGAATGATGATTCACCAATGATTCGACTGTTGATTTCGAAATGTGTATCTCTTGACATTGGTGCATGTACAATGATGGTCTCATAGTTTTCTTCATCTTCAATTCGATATATTGTATTACTAATACATTTGTATTTCTCGGATGAAAAATCTGATATATATTTCAACTTTGGACAATTTACAAATGCTCCTTCTGATATATATTCTAAATGAGAATTTTCAGGAATATAAATCATTATTAATTCTGGGCAATTATAGAATGCATTTTGTTGAATCACATTAATATAATTTTCAAAGTAAATTATTTTTGTATTTATATTTTCAAATGCATGGGGTGCAACTATAAAAACATCTCTTGGAACTAATAAAAATTCGTCATCTCCGTAATAATCTAGCATAACTCTTTCTCTGAGATCAATCAAAAAATTAAAAGCTAAAACTAAATAATTATCTTCAATATATGGATAATATCCTCCGAGAATGTAATCCCAAAAACTTCCCCTAAGAAATCTAAATTTTTGCTTAAAATTGAACCTGAAACGATGAAATACTGTGTTTTCAATTTTAATGCTAGATCCTTCAAAATTCAATCTCAAATCATGAGTATTACTAAAAGAATTTGGTGAAATTTGAATATAATTAGCAGACATTGGAATGGTAAAATTTTTTGTGAAATTTCCATCTAAACCAATTTTTATTTCATCATTGATTAGTATGAATTCACTTGTATTCAAATGATTAATTTCACAATTGGAAAATGAATCTACATCAATATTTGTAATCATCGATTCAATACTCAAATAATTAAATGAGCATGAAGAAAAACATTGGGAATATAAATAAGGTTTGAACTCTCCTGAGATAAATGTAATATTTTTGAATGATTTTATGTTTGAAAATGCATTATCTTGAATGACATAATTTTGTGCGGGAAATTCAATATTTTCAAGATTAGTATCGCTAAATGCATATGATCCTATAGATTTTAAGTTACATTCGGGATCAAAAACCAATTTCGTTAAATTTGTACAATCACAAAAAGCATATGAAGAAATTATCTCAACTGATTTTGGAATCGCGATGCTTGATATATTAGATCGATAAAATGAATAGCTTCCTATAACTTTAAGATTACAATTATCTGCAAAGTAAACTTGTTTTATGGTACTATATTCATAAAATCTTTTCTCTGGGATTTCAGTTATGTTTAAAGGAATCATTATTGTTTCGAATGATTTAGTATAAGAATCAATATTAGAAAATTTACTATTTTCGGAAAGATGAATTATTGTGGTACTTCGAAATGAATCTATATCAACAAAAGTTACTGAGTCTGGTAAAGATATATCAGTTAATGACGAATTTTCAAATGCTTCTGTCTCAATATTTTTGAGTTGAGATAAATGGGAAAATACAACATTTTGAAGATTAGTACAGTTTAAAAATGCATATGATTTGATTAATGTAACTTTTGATGGGATTGTGATGGATGTCATTGGACATTCGTAATATGAATAGGAACCAATGATTTCAACACTTTCATTAATGAAAAATTCTTCCTTTTTTGAATGGAAATAAAATACTTCTTTATAGTCTTTAGAATAAATGATAGAATTAACAATTGTCAAATATTCGTTATCCGAATCAATTTCAAATTCGATCGCATTGCTATTGTTAATCATATTACAATTGAAATTTTTCATTGTATTGGGGATTATAAATCTAGTAATAGATGTTCCTGTGAATGCATCATTTTCGATAACTTCAATTTGACTGTTAGATTGAAATACGATATTTTGAAGCGCTTTACAGTTGTAAAATGCATGATTTCTGATGCTTCGAACTGATGTAGGAATAATGATTGATGAGATATTTGTTTGTGAAAATGCATAAATGCCGATTGTTTGAACTGATGATGGAAGAGTAATTGATTCAATTTCAATATTATAAAAAGAATATTTTCCAATGATTTCAATATGACAATCTTCCGGAAATATATAATTAGGTTTATTTTTATAATAATATAGAAAATAAATTTCTGGAATGTTATCAACTTCAAAAGTAGTAAGTGATGATGGAACATTGAATTCGATGATTTTTGTTTTGATGAATGCATTTGGACTCAATTTTCTTAATTGAGTATTAGATGCAAATGTTATATTCTCAAGATTTTTGCATTCATAAAATACCAAATCATGAATTTCAATTAATGAACTTGGAATTGTGAAATTGGTTATGCTAGTATATTTGAATGCTTCATCTTCAATAATTGTTAATTGTGAATCATCTGTTATTTTAACATCTCGAAGATGTGAACATCCAGAAAATGCATTTTCTTCAATTTTAATAACTGATGATGGAATTAAAATTGATGAGATTTTCGAATTATATAACATATGGTTGCTTATAATTGTTAAATGTGAATCATAATGTAATGTAAATTCAATAAGATTATAGCAATTGTAAAATGCATAGTTTCCAATATAATTTACAGATGAAGGAATTTCGATTGTTTCTATTTGTGAATTATAAAAAGCGTATTCATCAATTATTTCGAGTGATGGTGGTATTGTGATTGATTTAATTTTGCAATAATTAAATGCATATGCTCCTATTTTTTTCAAGTTTGAATTTTCTTGAAATTCTATTGTCTCAATTGTTGAATAATTAAATGCATAATCATCAATTAAAGTAACAGTTGACGGAATAGATATATACCGAATATTTGATTGATGAAATGAATCTTTTCCTATCGTTGTCAAATTAGGAATGTTTATTGTTAAATTTTTTATATTTCCAAATGAGTTGTTCATAAGTTCAGTATAGTTCGAATTTGCTAAAAACGAAATATCATCTAATTCGCAATACTGAAATGCATATTCATCAATGACTTTAATTGAACAGGGTATTTGAATTGATTTTAACAATGTTTTAGAAAATGCGTATTTTCCAATAGAATTCAAATGAGATTCTATATGAAATATTATTTGAGATAGGTTTGAGGATTCAAAACAATTATTTCCAAGTGAAGTTAATGTACATGGAAGTGAAATTGAAGAAATATTTGTAAAATAGAATGCATATTGATCAATAATTGTTAGTTGACTATCAGAATTAAAGATAACTTCATGTAAAGATAGACAGCTTGAAAATGCATAATAACCAATAATTTTAACAGATGATGGAATATGAATTGAAGTTATTTTAGTGCCATAAAATGCATATGAACCAATTTCATCTAATTGACTGTTCTCTTCAAAGGTAACATTAACAAGTAAATTGCAATTACAAAATGCATTGTAACCGATTTTCTTTATATTTGAATTTATGAATATTGAAGTTATATTTGAATTACCATATATATATGAAGGAATTTCTTCCAAATGACTATTTTCTTCCAATGTGATTGAATTCAAAGATGGACAGTAAAAAATGCGGAATGATCAATAAATTTCACCGACGATGGAATTACAAATGATGTAATTGGCAAATAGCTAAACGCATATCCATGTATTTCTTCTAAGTGGCTATTATCCTCAAATGTAATACTAACCAAAAATTGCATTGATAAAACGCACTATCGTTAATAACTTGAACTGAAGATGGAATTAAAATAGAACTTATATTGTTATATGCAAATGAATTATTCCCGATCACTCTTAATTGACTTCTTTCACAAAAATTGATATTTGATAGTGTGTTACATTGATAGAATGCATTATTTCCAATATAATTTAGAGCTGAAGGTAGTAAAATGTTTGTAATTTTACAATATTCAAAAGCACTATCTGATATTTCTAATAGTTGTGATCCGTTTTCAAATGATATATTTTCAATAGAAGAATAATAAAATGCTCTATCTCCAATTTTTGAAACAAATTTTGGAACAAAAAAATTAGATATCTTTGTGTATGCAAATGTCATTGATGGTATTTCCTGAAGTTGACTTCCTTCTTCAAATTTCACAATCTTTAAAGAGGAATATTGAAATGTACTATTATGAATAACAGTGATATTTTTTGGAATAAATATTTCCTCAAGAATTGAATTTTTGAATAACTCCGAACCTAGTTCTTTTACGTATAATGGAATTGTGGAATTCATTTCAATTTTCAAACATTGAATAATAGTTTGGTTTCGATTTGAATATAAATAATTATCATCTGCATAAAAATATTTGTTTAAAGGAGAAATCTTGATATTTAGAGTATGTTTAAAACCAAAGGCACCAAAACTAATATTATTCAAATATTTTGGAATGAAAATTTCCTTTAAATTACATCCTCCAAATGCTTGATATCCAATATATGTTAGACTACTATCTTCTGGAATAATAACGTATTGCAAGCAAGGGCAATTGCAAAATGCATAGTCATCAATTTTTAGAGTACTATTTGGAATTTCTATTTCAGAAATAAAACTTGTAAATGAATATTTTCCAATGTAAATTAATTCACTATTTCCTTTAAATTTTACTTCTGAAAGAACAGAATAGTAATATGAAGAGGAAGAAGAAGAATATCCGACTGGAAAAGCATTATCATAAATGAATTGAATCTGCGAAGGAATTTCAATTGAAACAAATCCTTGGAATGAAGGATTGATTTCAGTGAAAACATCATTTTCTGGGAATGCAAATTTTCTCAATAAAGTTGCATAAAATGCATATGGCTGAATTGCTTCCAGATTCTGTAACAAAGAAAGATTTAATTCGAATAATTCAAGACAATAGCTAAAAGAATATTCCTCAATAATTTCAAGCATTGAATCTTCAGGAAATGCAACATTTTCAATATTTGATTTAAAGAATGCATATCTTTTTATTCTTTTGACAGAAGAAGGGATAATTACTGATTTAATAGAAGATTTGTAGAATGAAAATTCACCAATTTCTTCTAATGAATCATGCAAAGTGGTCACTTTTACAAATGGAAAAACACCTATAAGTCTCTTATAATCTGATGAATACAAGCATCTATCAAACATTCGAAAATTTTCATTTGCATTATCTAATATGACTTCTTTTAGAAAAGGGCATTCAGCAAAAGCGCTCATGTTTATTTCAACAACATGATTCGGTATGTAAAAAGATATTATTTTTGTTTTCATGAACACTTCACCAGAAATGTTTACCAAATTACTGTCAGAGGGAAATTCAATTTCTTTTAGTTTATTGCATTCAATAAATGCTGCTTCTCTTAGTTCAGACAAGGAACTTGGAAATGATAACATTTCAATACCAGAATCCTTGAATGCATTATCTTTAATTATTTTGAGGCTTGAGCACATACTAAGATTCAAAATTTTTATTTGGCAATTGTAAAAAGCATAAGCTCCTATTTCTTCTAAATATGGACATTTTTCAAATTCAAATTTTGTAAGATTTTCATCATTGACTCTAAAAGCTGAATCATTGATCTTTTTTAATTGAGATATGCCTTTAAATCTAACAGTGTTGATGTAATAATATGTATAATATCCAGGTCTAGTAACTTCAGATCCAATAATTTCACAGTCATCATCAATTTCGATGATACCTGATTGGGGTTCATATGAATAACTATCCCATGAAATTTTTCGTAAAGTTTTCCCTTCAGATGAATTGTAATAATAATATCGATATTGAATTAGAGAAAAAACAATCATTGAATGTATTAGAATGAAATTTTAACTTATAAAATATTGGGGTTCATTAGCCCCACCGAATTTTACATGTTATCCGTCCTCAATTCAAAGAAATTAATAATTTTTTGGAAAAAGCGGTTATTTCTATCGACAATCAAAAAGAAACTCAGAATCCAGAAATAGGAAGAAAAAATCTCACACTACAAAGATATGTCAATATCTTTGCATCCAAACCGGGTAGCTCATCTTGAGACACTTTTTTATTTTCCTTTTTTTATTGTTGTAGTTTCCGACAGATCAACCAATAATTCACAAAAAGCCTTGAACCGCTTAATACCATTTGTTTAGACTCGATGATAAGAACCAAGACTTTCAAAAAACAAATCTTTTTCTCGACCATCTTAAATATCATCATCGTTTAGTAATATAACACAAGAATTTCAACGCACAATGAGGAAAAATCGAAAAGTCATTATCAATTTTCCTCTATTATTCGTATCTTTTTATTTCAAACTTAATTTATCTTGAAATAGGCCAAAAATATATTATTCACATAATTCTCTCATTAGGCATTATTCAAAACAAACATATTTTCAAAAGAAAAACTGAAAATAATTAAATAAAAAAAAGTAATTTGCAATTTTATGAACAACGATCCAGTACACAATGTCCAGATACAAAAGTAAGTTTATTAAGAATACTTGTTACTCTAGTAACTAATCAATTTGTACTGACCATAATAAAAAAGCCGAAAACTTGTTTCTTTTCTCAACAGACCTCTTTTAAGATATTTTATTGAATGCGCCACTAGTGTATCGGTTAGCATGAGGGTTTCCCAAACCTTTGAGCCGGGTTCGATTCCCGGGTGGCGCATAATTTTTAATAAAAAGTTAATTTCCATTTTTCGATTACTTTTTATAACTCCACTGCTAAATTAAAACATTTTGAATATGATTTCATTAATGGTAATTCTTACATCAAAACATTTCCAGCTTATTTCAAAAGATAGTTGTAAATTACAATGTAGACGGGATCAAATAGTGATAAATAAATTAAATATTGTTTGGGTGCTTGAACTTTCTTGATTGAATTGGGAATCAATCTAATAATATGAGATAATACTTCCAAATGAAATGAGTATGATCAAATATGCGTCATTGTACGCTTAATGAAAAATCTTCATGAATCTTTTTCAATAATAAAAAAAAATTGAATAAAAAACAGTTATTTTATTTTAATAATATTATGTAATATTATCTCCATTAGTTGGAAATAAAATGTTCACAAATTATTCATAACAACCGTTAATGTTTGATTTATTTTATTATCTATTAGAGATTTTGATATAAAATAAATATTAATATTTATTACTGCCATTAATTATTTGAAAAGTTAATAAAAATTGAAACCTTTCTCAATTTTTAATAACATATCGATAATTTATAGTGAATATGTTCGTTAAAAATCATGAGAATAATTTTTCTTAGTTCTTTTCAATTTTTTCAATTTTTAAAAGATTTATTTAATATATACCAATTGCAATAAACTGTTTAAGATTTTTCAATTTCAAAAATTGAGCAAAATCGTGATGAATGGATATCCTTTATACGAAAACCTTGAAGCTTTCAGTTGGAAATATCACTTTTTCCATTCCATTCATGAAAAAGAAAATTGTGTTCCATGTTTAAGAACAATTCTCGAAATTTCAATAGCGATTATTATCTATTGCAAGATTTTAATCCTTCCAATTATGATCAGCCGTTTCCCTCCATCGGCACTTACCACAATATTTACAAAAATAACATGGGAAGCCTTGTCATTGGAAATTATTGGCGAAAAATTAGTTAATTTTGCAACTTTTTCATTTTCATTAGTGTTTTCCATACTATTCCTGATTTATTACAAGAAAAGAGATCTATTATACATTCATCATACAAACGGTCCTTTTTGTTTTATTTTATAAGAAATTTTTCCGTTAATCATGTGTTACTCAGCCTCATGCATTAGCTGGGCAGTCTACATGTATTTAAATGACGAGCCGCACATTTTTATGATGGTAACAGTCATAATAACTTTTATTATTGCCTCCATTTTTTCATATTACGGTTTTTTATTTACAGGTGTTCACTTTTCCAATATATCTATTAGCAACTCCTCATGGAATAGACTACAAAATTTTTACTTAATTTTAATCGTAAATTTATCCCATTTATTATGGTGGTTAGAATACAAATATAAGTTCGGCATTTACATAATTATATCAATCAGCGCAATTCTGTGCATCGGAATCTTCTTTTGGCTTTCAAAATTGCCATTTATTACCGAAAAATACAATAGATTCGCTATTTTTGCCAACGGATATACCTTATCGAACTTAATATTACTTACATTTTCAGTTAATCGCATATTTCGTGTTGAACTCTCTTATTTGATATCGTTCCTTTTAGTTTTTGTTTGGGCATTTCCATTATCGAAGCGAATATTTGACTTTTACTGCAAAATTATCCTTTGGCGCAGCAAGTTCAACCCAGATTACTTCCTTGATGCAGAAAACAACGTTGTTTTGCCAGAATGCTCACCAAAAGTCTTCGAAAACCTCATTCATTACCTAATGATCACTGATTACTACGATCTTACAGCCTTGTTAATAGCAGCAATTGATTCAGAAAGAGATCCAGAGCTTACAATCGAATGTGCAAAATTATTGATGATGAAAAGATACATTCCATACAGAATTCGACTACAATTATTCCAAATGGACATCAATAATCTTTCGGTTACTTCGAAACAGACATTATTTTCAATATTATCCGATTTAAATAAAATCCGCACAAATTTTGACGACATACAAGATGTTATCTCAGTCATAGAGAACAAGAAACAGATGACTAAGATATATTTATATGCGTTCGTCAACACTTTACTTGAATCTCAGTCACAATTACAGAAAGAAGTTTGCGTAATCAACTACGCAGTATCTACACATGATTACAGGGTCATGGCGATGTATAACATCCAACATTCGATGCTTTGTCCCGAAATAATTAATAGTTATATTGATTATTTGCTCAAAATCGGCGGGAATTACATCCAAGCTACTAAGATTGTCTCTAGTATTAGTTCTATCCGTAATTCTCTCATTAAAATCAATGATTCAACACCTTTGTTGAAATTTTCTGATTCAAAAAGCCGTTTAGAGATAGATTTGCCAAATGGAAGTGAATTAATAAGTAATCAGAAGACTCTGGAGATAGTTCCGAACTGGGGATTGCGATTGATCATTTTGGTGTCGATTTTATTAGTAATTTTTATTTATTTTCCAGTTTTGACACTAGAAAACATCGAACACTCGAAGACACTCAAAAATAATGAGTATTTCAGACACGACCACTCCCCACCTTATTATATATCATCCTACACGGTCAAAAATATTTACTCTTATTTCAAAATTTACAACGTCACTTTTGATCCGAAAATTTTGTCACTTTTAACATTACAGGGCTAAATGAACTTAGAGAATACTTAGATAAAGTTGTCTGTGCTTTGGATGGCAAAACGGTTTTAGGCGGTTTATTTGAAAAACCGGAAAATTGGACAAATTATTTATATGATTTATATGCCAAAAAGTTGTCAGTTTTTTATTTGTCCGACCAAAAATTTGAATACTTGAATTCACATCATTCATTAGAGACATGTTTTGAATCATTTTTACCTGTTATTGATAGATATGAACAATGTGCATTGAATGTCAAACAAAAATCGAATTTTAAAATCATTGGAATTTGTTGTGGAATTTCTGGTTTCTTAATTTTATTAACGTTTATTGTTACTTTTGGAAGTTTAGGCGGAATTGTTAATAAAATGGTTAAGATATATAATTCGATAGAGAACACGACATTGGAAGAATTCAGGAGTAATTTATTTGTTGACATTCATTCGCAAGCGAAAAATAAAATGAATGTAAAAGTGACAGAAGAAATTGATAATGATGGAGCATTAGATTTAGAAGAAATTGAAGAAAATGAATTGCAAGTACCATTGGAAACTGATGAAGTTGAAGAAATGATTGAAAAAGGATTGAAAGGATCAATAACATTTAAAACTTTTTCGCCAAGACACAGAAATTATTTTGTTTTGTATTGTTTGTTGATTTTCATTTTAAGATATATGGTTGGTTTTATAACTGTTAATTATTATGAAAAAGTATATATTAATTTGGTCAAATCCAATATTTTGGAACATTCTGCAATTGATTTCGCTGCAAAATTGTTTTTGCAAATTGATGCTTATTTTGCAAAAGTGACATATAATGAAACGGTTTTGTTTGAAAAACCGGAAACGAATGAAACGAGAAAAAAACATAGCACACATTTGCACACATTTTGACACTTTTTCTGACAAGCATCATTCAAATTTGAAGAAAAACCTCTAAATTTCATTCAAATTTCTGTCAAAATGTGTGCAAAATTGAAATAGGCACACATTTTGACATACGATTATTTATATACGTTATTTTAATGGTTTCAGAGAAATCTTCGTTACACATTATTGAAGATTACTCAATATTTAAGTGAATGACTCACTACCACCTGTTTAGAAAAATGGTAGCATAAAATCCAAATGTCACATATATTATTTCTTATTTCATACAAATAAACTTACAATTATAACCTCAACTTGTTTGCAAAGCAGAAACTCAATATAAGCAATCGATCAGTAGTGTATTTAAAAGTCGAATTTAAATTTAAAAATTTATAATCTTATTTCGGAACCAAATAGTATAAATTTAGGACAAAAAGCTACGTGGTGTTGATAACAACTATTAAAATTCAAATATTACTACCATGAACAATACAATGGCTCATATTGATAATTGATAAACGTGCATATAAATTGCATATATCATCAATGTCATTAAGTAAAATACATGTATATAAATAGATTAGAAATATTTTTCGGTTAGAATTAAAATCTATGTAATAAAAAATAAGTTATAAAAATAAATACCGAATTTTTATTTGTAATATAAACTGCTACAATATGCTAGTGTATACAAATGTATTTGTCGTATTGATTTGAAAGATCTTCAACATGGTTCAGATCTAAATTTGAAACTCGTAAAATAAAGCGAATCTTTATTTATAATATAAACTGCTACAATATGCTAGTGTGTACAAATGTATTTGTCGTATTGATTTGAAAGATCTTCAACATGGTTCAGATCTAAATTTGAAACTCGTAAAATAAAGCGAATCTTTATTTATAATATAAACTGCTACAATATGCTAGTGTGTACAAATGTATTTGTCGTATTGATTTGAAAGATCTTCAACATGGTTCAGATCTAAATTTGAAACTCGTAAAATAAAGCGAATCTTTATTTATAATATAAACTGCTACAATATGCTAGTGTGTACAAATGTGTTTGTACAAATGTATAACTCTTTGTCAATTGTTATGGCACCTTATAACTTAAAAATCATTTTCATTAACAAATATAAAAAGTGACAATTAATATTTTCATTAAATGCATATTTAATTATCAAAACAATGTCGATTTAGCTTGAATGTTCATTATAAATGTGTAAGTTTAGGAAAACAAAAAATAATTAATTCTCGCAAAGAAACTTATTTTAAAAGAACCTAAACAAAAGTTCATATAATAATAAATCTAAAAATAGATATTAATTTAAACGAAGATAATGAGAGAATGGGGATGTTGTAAAACAATGAGACTTAATGATCAAATAATTAAAATAATAAAATTAATTAAAGGAAAGCTAAAATAGTTTAATGAATTTTTATAGATTGATTACACAATCAATGTTTCTGTGTCAATGTACATCAATCAACATTGTTTCATTGAATTTTGTCTTTCACCAAGAAGATTCAAGAACAAAGTTTTGTAGTTTCAATAGATTGATTACACAATCAATGTTTCTGTGTCAATGCTACATCAATCAACATTGTTTCATTGAATTTTGTCTTTCACCAAGAAGATTCAAGAACAAAGTTTTGTAGTTTCAATAGATTGATTACACAATCAATGTTTCTGTGTCAATGTACATCAATCAACATTGTTTCATTGAATTTTGTCTTTCACCAAGAAGATTCAAGAACAAGTTTTCCTCTTTTTCTTTTTTAAATGATTAAAATATTACCTTGCTTCAACTTTACACGTTTTCGTTTACTAAAATTATCTTTTACCTTCACTTATCTTATCATACCCAATTATTCATTTAATTCTATATTTTTCTGACCAAAAATCCTCTCAAATCTCCCTTCTTCTTTCAAAAATTCTATGAGTTTATTCAAATTTCCTTTAAATCTTTGCTAGTCCTTCTATGAGATTCATTCTAAAATTTTTGAAAAAAATTTAAAATTTGCTAAATATATTCTTTATTACTTTGCACTATTTTCCAATTGAAAAATCGTCGATTTTAATCAAATGTAAGATCATAATAATAAAAATTATGAAACTTACCGTGTTTATTAGTAAATTTCAATATGAAGTTGTTATACAAACAGCTGGGACTTTAAATTGAGAAATTGCATAATTCCATCTACAAATTTTGGTCTAGACAATAATCATTGATAAATTATAATATATGTATTATGTGTATTTACATTGCATATATAACAATTTCAATTTCTATATTAAATTGTTATTTGATATCAGCTATATTTGTTCAGGTAAAATGAAGTGTAAAAATATAACTCATGAATTACATATATATATATTATTTTTATTATTAAAATCAAATTCAGATTTATAAATTAAGGTTATTCATTTTTGATATGGTTATCACGCTCAAATATGGAAATAAAATTAAAAAAAGTCAATACTCCTCAAAAAATACATTGTCTATCATTATATCTATATGCTTCCAAAGTATTTCATCTTAAACTAAAGACTTTTATATTACAAAAAGATTCAAAGAAGATACAATTGTTTAATTATGTTAAACATTATTCAGATATGACAATTGAAATAAAAGAGTCAAAAAAGCCTCTAAACTATTTGACAATCCAATAATTTCTTCAACTAAACTATCAAATTTGGAGGATTTAATAAAATGTGGATATGATATGGATATTTCACAAATTGCATTGTTTTCAGCCAGAAATGACATTGATACTGCTATGAAAATACTGAACATGGATTCAATCGAAGAATATGATATGAACTTAATTGCTTATTAAAACAAGTAAGAGAATTTAGAAGAAGTGATATAAAAGGTCAAATGATTGCAATAAGGACAGATAGCAATGGTAAAAAATACACAGAAGTATTAGCAGAAGGGATTTTTAAAGCAGATAGCGATGTTGATTGATGTACATTGACACAGAAACATTGATTGTGTAATCAATCTATTGAAACTACAAAACTTTGTTCTTGAATCTTCTTGGTGAAAGACAAAATTCAATGAAACAATGTTAATTGATGTACATTGACACAGAAACATTGATTGTGTAATCAATCTATTGAAACTACAAAACTTTGTTCTTGAATCTTCTTGGTGAAAGACAAAATTCAATGAAACAATGTTGATTGATGTACATTGACACAGAAACATTGATTGTGTAATCAATCTATTGAAACTACAAAACTTTGTTCTTGAATCTTCTTGGTGAAAGACAAAATTCAATGAAACAATGTTGATTGATGTACATTGACACAGAAACATTGATTGTGTAATCAATCTATTGAAACTACAAAACTTTGTTCTTGAATCTTCTTGGTGAAAGACAAAATTCAATGAAACAATGTTGATTGATGTACATTGACACAGAAACATTGATTGTGTAATCAATCTATTGAAACTACAAAACTTTGTTCTTGAATCTTCTTGGTGAAAGACAAAATTCAATGAAACAATGTTAATTGATGTACATTGACACAGAAACATTGATTGTGTAATCAATCTATTGAAACTACAAAACTTTGTTCTTGAATCTTCTTGGTGAAAGACAAAATTCAATGAAACAATGTTGATTGATGTACATTGACACAGAAACATTGATTGTGTAATCAATCTATAAAAATTCATTAAACTATTTTAGCTTTCCTTTAATTAATTTTATTATTTTAATTATTTGATCATTAAGTCTCATTGTTTTACAACATCCCCATTCTCTCATTATCTTCGTTTAAATTAATATCTATTTTTAGATTTATTATTATATGAACTTTTGTTTAGGTTCTTTTAAAATAAGTTTCTTTGCGAGAATTAATTATTTTTTGTTTTCCTAAACTTACACATTTATAATGAACATTCAAGCTAAATCGACATTGTTTTGATAATTAAATATGCATTTAATGAAAATATTAATTGTCACTTTTTATATTTGTTAATGAAAATGATTTTTAAGTTATAAGGTGCCATAACAATTGACAAAGAGTTATACATTTGTACAAACACATTTGTACACACTAGCATATTGTAGCAGTTTATATTATAAATAAAGATTCGCTTTATTTTACGAGTTTCAAATTTAGATCTGAACCATGTTGAAGATCTTTCAAATCAATACGACAAATACATTTGTACACACTAGCATATTGTAGCAGTTTATATTATAAATAAAGATTCGCTTTATTTTACGAGTTTCAAATTTAGATCTGAACCATGTTGAAGATCTTTCAAATCAATACGACAAATACATTTGTACACACTAGCATATTGTAGCAGTTTATATTATAAATAAAGATTCGCTTTATTTTACGAGTTTCAAATTTAGATCTGAACCATGTTGAAGATCTTTCAAATCAATACGACAAATACATTTGTATACACTAGCATATTGTAGCAGTTTATATTACAAATAAAAATTCGGTATTTATTTTTATAACTTATTTTTTATTACATAGATTTTAATTCTAACCGAAAAATATTTCTAATCTATTTATATACATGTATTTTACTTAATGACATTGATGATATATGCAATTTATATGCACGTTTATCAATTATCAATATGAGCCATTGTATTGTTCATGGTAGTAATATTTGAATTTTAATAGTTGTTATCAACACCACGTAGCTTTTTGTCCTAAATTTATACTATTTGGTTCCGAAATAAGATTATAAATTTTTAAATTTAAATTCGACTTTTAAATACACTACTGATCGATTGCTTATATTGAGTTTCTGCTTTGCAAACAAGTTGAGGTTATAATTGTAAGTTTATTTGTATGAAATAAGAAATAATATATGTGACATTTGGATTTTATGCTACCATTTTTCTAAACAGGTGGTAGTGAGTCATTCACTTAAATATTGAGTAATCTTCAATAATGTGTAACGAAGATTTCTCTGAAACCATTAAAATAACGTATATAAATAATCGTATGTCAAAATGTGTGCCTATTTCAATTTTGCACACATTTTGACAGAAATTTGAATGAAATTTAGAGGTTTTTCTTCAAATTTGAATGATGCTTGTCAGAAAAAGTGTCAAAATGTGTGCAAATGTGTGCATTTTATCCATCTCGAATGAAACTGAATTTACAGAAATTTGTGAAAATGGAATGATTTTATGGACAAGAAAACATTTAAAATTGACAAAGAAAATTTAAAGTTTTTTGAAGAAATCATGCAAAATGTTTCTTATTACGTAGAAAGTTTATATGACAAGAACTCAAAGGTTTATGCAAGAGAGAATTATATGGAAAACGTGCACTTCATTTCAACTTTGTTTTTAATTTTCTTTTTAATGTATTTTTTGTTTATTTTCATTTATTTAGCAAAATTTATTATGTCAAATGTTGCTCATATTGTTTTAGTGTTGAAATCAAAGTATAATTCAACACTTTCGAGATTAATCAACTCTATTTCTTTCAATGAAAAGAAAGAACCTCCTTTTGACTTCCAAAATTTATCGGAATTAATTGTTTCCAATTCAATTTATCCGATAATATTTTTTGACATCGATTTTAATGTCACTTTTTATAATCAACAAGCGACAGCACAAATTTCTTCTGATTTAGAGAATTTGGTGAATTTTTTACCTGTAGACAAAAACATGGAATTTTTTGAGTTTGCAAAAATGACAACAAAAAGTTTAGGAATAAGAGCAAGAAAGAATTTTGATTTCTTCGTTTTCACTGAATCAGAAAACAAATTAACGCCATTTTCAGGTGTTTTCATTCCATTGCAAAATTGTAATTTTGCTTTGATTCTTAAAGATCAAAGTGAAATAATCGAGATGAAAGATGAACTCGACAGACTCCACAAACAAATTTCTTTGGTTCTGAAAAGATTGGTTCATCCGATGATAGCGATGAAAACGGTTTTAGATGAAATGCCAAATCTGACAACCAAAGAAAAATGTGTTATTTTTTGTTGTCAAATGAAAACGATTGAATATGTTAAGCCTGAAATCGAATTATTTGATTATGAAATCACCGAAGTTTGTATATCTATTTTCGACAGATTGTTATCGAAATACAACAAAATCTGTAGAATGAGGACATTCAATGAAGATTTTGTTTTCATTGGAGGTTTCTTTGATGATGATTCTCCTGGAGAAAGAATTGAAGAAATCATCAAATTTGCCCAAGATGCAGCGAATGATATCAATCATTTCTTGGAATGTAATATTTTGTTGAGTGGATCAATAAACTACGGAGGTCCTGTTCATTGTGGATTCTCCGGCATTTCTAAGACAATGTTTGATTACTGGAGCAAAGCAATTATTGATTGTTACGATATTTTAGATGTTGTTCCTCCTGGAAAACTTTTGTTGTTTGAAGACGCGTATAATTATATCAATGACAAATCACTTTTCATTCCTTACAGGCCAACAAGAGAGATTGAACAGAATTTATTCATCATGCAGTCCTATTTAGGAATGGGATTCACTGATTAACTTTTTATATGTTTATTTTTGTTTGTAATATTAAATGTATATTAGATAATTTCTTATTTATAGGATAATTTAATATATTTGTAACAAGTGAAAAATAGATTTCGATTGTGAATAAGTATCATTAGTCAACTCTTAGAAATGAGTATGAACTTTATTCAAAATATTCTATGGGATTCTCCCAATTTCATATAACATATATAACATTTACTTACTCCTTTTGTCCCATATATAACATAAGACTAGTAAATATATAGATATTCAGAAAATTTAGATCCTCCGATCAGGATTATATTTTCTGATATTTGATAATCAAGTAAACAGACGCTTTACCTATGGAAATAGTATCACAGTTTCAACAATATTGAATTTCAAATTCATACTGAAAATTTAACAACGTTAGTGATCGCATCTGTGTACTGGAAATGGCTCATAATTTATGTAGCCATTTGGGGTGTTAGATTGAAACAAGTAACTCGAAAGGAATATTTTTTATAAAAAGTATCAAGTATATTTCGTTGAAAGATCAGCATCTTATAGTATGGTGAGTCTGTAATTTTATAGTTACAATTTGCTTGTGTGGATATTTTGAGTATTTCTGAAAATTTAAAAGTAATTAAAGGGTCATTATTGATTTTGTAATTTAATCGTTGTCGTTATCGATTTTGTAATTTAATCGTTATCGTCTTTTCTAAACGTGCATTTTTGCTTTCGGAGCTATTGAACATACATTGGCCCTTACCAGCAATTGAAAACTATTTTTCATTATCAACAATTACATTACTCCGAGTTATTCATCAATCAATGAAAATCGATATATAGTCCATACTTCAATTTACAATATTGGCAAGTCCAATTTCACTTGGCATATTTAACTCATATAGAAAAACCAGTTGGAATCGGCAAAATTATCTTTAATTCCATACATAAGAAAAAAAAATTATAAAGTTCTTCAACAATAGCAAACTAATAGTTTAAATATATTTACAAGTATCGCCCATCTACTTTTGATATAATTCACATATTAAATGTAGAAAACTGGTTTAAAATAAATATTTCAAAAGTTCGAAAACGATTTATGAAAAAATAACGTGATGACATTTACTAAATTTGCTCTGTATTAAAGTATCGATGATAGAAAGAGCATATTTTGTAAATATTTCAAAAATATTTAAAAGTCGGAGAAATTGTATTGTAATGTACTATAATTATGTTACAAATCCGATTCAATACTAATCCTTCGCTATTGAAGTTGTTTTGAGAAGGATATTCTCTAAATTCTTGATAAATCTTTAAAATCTAGAGTAATCGTTTTGTAAACTTAACAAAACTAAAATGTATACCAATAGATTGGCATTTTCTACGTTTTCAAAGTGAGAGAGTGTAAATTCTTTTTTTTTATCCTATTAAGGGTTTTTAAAAAATTTAATTAACTTAATTTATATGATCTGAAATATATGACAAGTTAATATGGAGAATTCTTTCAACCCAATTTCAATTTATTGAATTTTCTATTCGAATTCAAAAATTTTCCCAAGAAGAAAAAATAAATAGGAAATTTAATATGTTAATACATAAAATATTTTATTTATTCAAAGAATTCAATTTTCTATTGGATCAAAAAACTTGTGTTAAAGTTCGTATTTTAAGATAACTATACTTTTAGAAGCTGTTTTTATTTTTTTTCACCGGGATTTTATTAATTTAATTCTTTCAAAATTTGAATCTTATTGTATATCACCGGACTATGATCATAATAGAGTTGCAATCTCTAATTATAGCCACATTAGTACTCGTGGGTCGATATATCATGGGAGATACAAAATTATTTGAATTTTCTTTTATTTTTTTAAAAAATATTAAAAAAAGTAAATAAATAACTAACAACACAGCATCACTTTTCGTAAAATGCTTTAATCCTAGTCCTTTTTCCCCTTAATTTTTCAATCTCTCCCAGGTTGAAATTTATTCCGGGAATTTTTAAAGATGCTTGGTCAACATAAAATTTTATTAAATCTTCCACAGGAGTCATAAACTCTGAACATTTGAAGCGAGCATGAACTGCATCATTCAAATTTTTAAGAAGATTTTTGTTCGAAAAGTGATTCAATACGGCGATTACATGAATACAAGGTAATCCGTATAATTCGATGTGCTTACATGTGCATGAATATTGTGAATCTGACATAATTTTTACGCAATATGTATAGCGACCAAAAGTTGCATAATATAATTCTTGAATTGGATCATATAATACCGAGCTAAACATATCTGAATGTTTCAAAGTTTCATTTAGATTTTTGATAATATTATCTGATTTAAAATCACCTGTTAAAACATTTTTAACAAGATTGAATTCATGTTCAATGAGACGGATAATTAGTTCGGCGGGTTCATATGTATCCCATTTATCTTTAATTTCGGCATTAAGGGATTCAATAAGAGATGTTGTGAGTATGCCAGCGGTGTAGTCAGCGAATCCTTCAAATGGGTTAATACTATCTAAGTACTTAAAGAGATCCTGATTATTTTCGCGGTTTGGATATTCCTCTTGTAAACGAGTTTCTAACTTTTTAATCAAGTCAATTCGTTTTTGAGGATGGTCTGCGTAAGCGACTTCAACAATTTCGGAATAGACATTGATGTATTCCCTTTTTGTTGCAAAATGACGTAAGCAAAATTTATGATCGCAAGAAAAGCCTGATTCTCTAACAGCAGCTATAATTGCCGGACCTTGATCGGAATAAATATTCTTGAATCTGCTTGGTGGAATAAAAGATTTCAATTTAGTGAGCATATCCTTAATTGTTATCGTATTTTCACTAACAGACCATGCAAATGCAATAGGGATAAGTCTATTATTTGGTGCAGGTGTACCAATAATGAGTAAGTTTCCTTTTTTAATACAAAATAAAAACGTTCCATCAATTTGAATTATTCCGCAAAAAGCTTGTGTTTGCATGTAAAAATGAGTTATTGGAGGAATTACAATAAATGAATAAATTTGAAAGTCTTTTGAATTTTCAGGTAATTCATCACCTTTCTTAAATGTATGCAATTCAATTTCATTGTTAACTTCTTTAACTAAAATCATTTCGCAGAATCCTTGTTCGATTTTGTTTATGATTGAAAAAATTGTTGAGAAATAATTGTAAGATTGAATTCTATCCCCTTTTGTGGTTCCTTTAAGTTTATTTACTATATTATGGAACATCGTATAAGTTGCATTGGGAATATTCAATTCTTTTGCAAAAATTTCTTTGCATTGAGGAACATTATCAGAATTTGCTAATTCATAGACTTTTTTTCCTGCTTGCAACTTAAGAATTTTTGGTATATTGTTACTCGGCTTGCATTGCTTTGCTCTATGCTCGTGTTTAATTACTGGAATGAAGAAAAGTTGACCATTTTCATGAGTCTTTACAAGCTCCATGCAAAATTGGCAGTTAGGACAACGAAACTTTTTTCCTTGCTCAAAATTTAATGGATAAAAAGAATTATATGAATCTTTTGCAATAAATATAGCAGCTTCTGTAGGATCTGTAAATTTTAATTTGCTATATCTTTCCTTGAGAATTGGAATTGGGGGATTTTCAGGTATTTCCATTCTATATTTCAATTTTTTACGGGAATTCAATTCATTTTGAATTAAATCCAGCATATCAGCTCCATCTCCTTTTTCTTCATCAACAATAGCTTGGATGGATACTGATATAGTTTGATTCTCTTCCACTATTGTCGGTTCGCTTTCCGACATGAGATAAAATTGAAGGTTTAACGTACTTTTGATACTCTGAGTTAAAAAAAGATTTTCTTAACATAATTTGATTTATTGGTCCTTAAAAAATTCTGATTCAAAATTGAATTGAATCGAACGAGTTTTCCTTTTGAGTCATTTCAAATATTCATGAGAAAGAAAAAAAATTCTAGCAATTTCAAATATTTTTGATTTGATTGAATTCAAAAGTGTCACAAATATTCAATGAGAAAGAGAAAAGAGATCGAATATGTTGTTTCTGAGCGAATAGTCAAGCAATATTTCGTTAAGTACAAAGATCAGCATCCGGAAAAAAATAAATGGGTATATCAAAATGAGATTCCGCAAGAAATATTTGAAAAATATCTAGAAACGAAGAAAACAGAAAATATTGATGAAATGTTACGCTGTACTCGAATTGTTCATGTTGTTGATCAAGATAAAAAAGAATTTTATCTTGAATTTTAAAAAAAAATCAAATTCATCACATATTAAACAAGAATCTAGATGAAGAACATCAAAAGGCTTATATAGATTATCTTGAAAGTTTACTCAAACTTGAAATAAAAAATAAAAATTAAATTAAATTAACCCTCGTTAGGATATCGTTGCAAATAAAGATCTGTTTCTCAGAAAGATCCTGATTTTCTGATAAATATTCTGTTGTAACTTCTACAAGGTTTAAGATATGAAAAACATTTTTGAATATTTCATCGCTATCAAATCTGCGGAAACATCTGGAATATAATTTCAAATATTTGTGAAGATTTGAATTCTCAATTGCATAATTAATTAAAAATTCATGTGAATTTAAAAAATCGGTAGATTAAATTTGCATGGGTATAAGAGGAAGTACACAATAATACCCCTGAACTACATACTCTGTAAATGAATAGTGAGGAGAAAGACTTCGCAGAATTTCAAGTGTTTTTATGAATTCTAAAGCCATCTCAGATGTTATATCGACTGCTTTATAAAATAAAACTATAAATTTGAGAAGATAAACAAAATCTTCGTTATTTATAATTGAATTCACGTCATTAAAAAAGTTGAAATAATTTGATATTAGTATATCCGAACATGGAAGAGCAGTTGCATATCCTGGGTAATATTTTAATAATTTTGTAAAGAAATTTGCAATTGCATAAGTTGAATATTGATTTTCGTACTCAATAATACTAGAAAAAATTTCTTTCTTGAGTAAAACTGCGTTTTGGAAGAATTCAACGTCAAGAATATTGTTTTTAATCAAAGCAATAAATGTATCGATGAGTAGTATATATAGCGGGTTTTGTGACTTTTTTTGTAAACGTAAGAATTCATACAATATAGAACGATTTTGTATCATTTTTTTAACATATGAAGTAAAAAATGTATGATTCTTACGGTTTTTATTCTTACGTTTTTGAATAAATCAAGATTTAAAAAATTTTCAAATCGTAAGACATTTACACTCAGCCCATACATAAAAATAATTTATTTCATCTTTTATAAAAGAAGCTATATATATATATAGATGATGTTGGATATTCCGTGATTAATTAAACATTGTTTAAATCCTGAATGAAATCAATGAAGTCATAATCAAAGACCTCATAAACGGGTAAAAGAAATTAGAAATTCATGTCTTACGAAAAATTAAAACTTAGTTATGTTTATTATTTTATTTTTTTATTTTGTTTGAAATGAGCGTCAAAACTAACAACGTTAAAAAATTGGGATTCACAAACGAGGAAATAAAGGATATATTAGAGGAGGCGGGTTATGAGGTTGATAAATATTATTTAAGAAATTGTAAAAAATTCGCGGAGTTTTTAAATGAGTTTGATTATGATGGAAAAATGAATAAAAATGATGTTATAAATTTCTTATATCCCACATCTAAAGAAGAAAAACCTAAAGAACCTGATGTTTTCCCTGAATATTATGAAGAACGGATTAAAGATGATGAATATGATGAAATTGAAAGACTGGAAAAAATAAGAGATGAAATAAATGAAAAAATTAAGGAATTAAGAGAAGTTGAAAAATATAATGAAAATGAAGTAGAGGGTTTAATGAATATCCCGGCTTCAGAATCAGAAGTTCAGAAATCTCATGAAGAAAGATATAAAAATTATGTCTCAGAATCAACACAAAATTTATTAGATGGTGAAATAGATGAAACACTTTCAGAAGAAGGTACTAAATTTATTCGTGAACATAAGTTACAATTTATTGATAATGAAGAATACCCTTGTATCTTACTTTCATCACCTTTAGATTCCAAAAAATTCAAAAAAGCTCTTAAAAACGTGACATATGCAACTAATACGATTAAGAAAGAAGATCATGATATTTACACAAATTATTATTTAAATAAATGCACAGGTGTTGATAAAGTTTTTGATTTATTAGATAAAATATCAAAAGAAACCATTGGAACCTATAAAATTTTGTGTGATTGCGGTTTCATTATTGAAGATACCAATAATGTTTCATATGAAAGAACAGCACCGAAGGAAGACGAAGTTGAAAGGTCTATACCATTCGTTATTAAGAACATAAAAGATATGAAAACTTATAAACATTATATTTATTCATTTATTTCAGAAAAAATGGAAGCAAACCATAAAACATCTTCTCATCATTTTATAGCTATTCATACATTCCTTTTCAAAGTTGTGAAATTAAATAAGACAGGAATTAGATTTAATGTATCAGGGTACGCATTCTTGAGTAAATTAAAATGTATTCGTCACGTCGCGGATGATAAAAATTTATGTGTTCTTAATTCATTTTATGGGCTTTAAAAAATAAACTTTATTTTTATTTTTTAATTTTTTATTCTTACATAAATGAACAAAAACGAAACAGCTAAAATGAATGATAATCAAATTAGAGCAGAAGGTAGAAGGTTATTTAAACGCTTCTATAACATTCCTGATGGTGTTAATCCTAAAACTCGTAGAAGTTATTTAAATGAAGCAATAGATGCATATGAGGGGTTTGACATTTCATCAGAAAGTGAAAGATTAGCGAGAATGTTAAATGTTAATATTGATTTCTATTATTGTGATCCTCAATCAGAAGACGTGGACATAAATAAGGTAGACTTTCCATTAGTGGAATCAATAATGATAGATCCAGAATTTGAAACAGTAAATATTTTATTAACACAGAGTCCATGTGGAAAACTTCACGCTGACAGAATAACAGACGTTGAAGCACTCACTGGCTATAAAGTTTGTCCATTTTGTAAAGAAGAAGTTTATTCTATCCGTGATGATCCAGAAAGGAAAAACCAAAGAAGATTTTTAAAGCATTGTGAGAAATGTAAAGAAAATAATGGGAGATTAATTCAAGACGTTCAATTGCAAAAGACACAGCAACCATATGCACCACATATTACGAAACAGAAGATATATCAGTGGTTATTAGCTCACAATTTGCAGAAATATTATAAACCGACAAGATATTATATTACTTTTGACTTTGAAACATTAGAGACTAAAGAAGAATTACAACTTTCTGAGTGTGCAACTTTGAACGCTTACTTAAAACCATTCATGGTATCATCAACAGTTAAATTAAATGATAAAACATATACGAGGAATTTTTGCTTAACTTCGAGTGATTCTTTTATTTCTGATTGGATTGAGTTTTTATTTTCAACCTGTTCATTAGTTGCTAAATCAAATATTGAACAATATGAAGAATTATTGAAGCCGCAAACGGTGGGGACTTTGTCTCAAACATTAAATGAAAAACAGAAGGAAGCATTTAAAGAACTTCTAGATGAGGAATTCAATAAAGTGAATATCATAGGTTTTAATTTCGGGAAAGTTTGATTTAAATTTAATTCTCGTGATTTAAACACTGCAAAATGGAAAATAAAATCAATGCTGGGTCATCTTCACAATTTAAGCAAATCATTGTAAAGAAAACAAACGTTCCATATGAATTAAGATTTTTGACATCAGAAATTATATAGCGGGTGGACATTAGACCAATTCACTCAAGATTTCGGAAACAATAAATCACGTGTTAAATCCTTTTTCCCTTATCAATTCATCACGTGGGAAAATTACGAAGAAGAATTATATAAAGTGGAACCATTCACTCAAGATTCATTTTATTCGGTATTAACTCAAGAAACTATATCAAATAGTGATTATCAAATATATCTCAATGATGCTAAAAATTTTAAGAATAGATTAGAATATTTTATTCATTATTGCAATAAAGATGTTGAAATTATGATTGACTCAATTGATAAAATTATTGAAGAAACATTTGTTTATAAAATTGACACGCTTCATAATCTTTCTTTATCATTGAATGCTTCAATGATTCGTTACGCTTTAGCATATAAAGACTTTAATCCTAATGAAAAATATCCTGAGGAAGAGATAGAATCAAGTTTTGAATTAACGAAAAAGTATTGGAAATATAAAATTGAATCATATAAGAAACAAGATGAAAAAGCAGAAAGGGATACTAAAAATAATGTTTCAATGGATGATTTTCAATACTATCACGATTTAATCCTTTCATCTAAATGCAAAATGTGTGGTAAAGCGTTTACATATGCAAATAAACCAACATTGGATAGAATCGATAATGAAAAACCGCATACCAAAGAAAATTGTCAGTTAATGTGTTGTTATTGTAATGTCGTAAAATCAAATAAAGATGAAGATGTTCAACGTTTAAGAATCAATTTAAGAAATTATGCATTAAAAAATAATTTACCAATGACTTTAGATTCAGTTGAAGCTTATCACATTCTCCGTAATGGAATTACTGGTGGTCTATCAAATGTTCAACATCGTGTTAATCTTAAAGGAATCACACACATTAATAAACTTTCATATAATCCAGAAACTAAAACTGTATCAAATGAGGACACCACCAACATTATGACTCATTTTGTTGGTGTTGATTTTAATTCATTATATCCTTCATCATTTTCATCTAATCCTCATGATTTCATTCAATATACTGACCATAAAATGTATATGCCAGGAAGATTGAATGGTGTTATCATTTGTGATACAGCAACAAAGAAAGCAAAAGCACTGGGAATTATTAGAAAGAAAAATACTTTATTCGTGGCTGAAGTAAAGGGTCACATTGATGAAAAATACATTAATGATTACATAAACTTTTTACCGATAATAAGAAACTTAGATATTATCACAGATGAAAAAACAATTGGTAGTTTTATGTATAATTACATGAAATCAAACAATCTACCAGTTGACCAGAAACAGAGAAAATTAACTCAGTTAGCATCAACACACAACCAATATCAACCATTTTCTTCTTATTATCTTTGGTATCTAATCGATAGATTTCATTTTATCATTGATGATATTCAATCAATTTTAACATTTACTAAAAACACTTGTTTTAATGAATTTGCGAACGAATTTATGAATGAAAGACAAAAGGCTGAATTAGAAGGAAATAAAGGAAAAAGTTTATTTTGCAAGATTTCACTTAATGGATCATATGGTTACGATGCAATGAATACACAAAATTACACAAAGACTAAAATAATGAATGCACAGAAGGCATGCGTTGCATGTATGTCAAATAAGTTTAAAAACATAAGAGAAATAGGTGAGGATACATATCAAGTGATGCTCAAAGATAGATTTTATAGATGTGATACATGTTTACAAGAGGCATTCTTCACTTTAGATAACGCAAAATACTGGTATTTGGTTTTCATTTATGATTTTATGTATAAATGCTTGAATGTTAATCGTTTTCATTTCATTGAAGGTGATACTGATTCATCTTATTGGGCAATCGCTGGCGACCCAAATCTTCCTAACACTCAAGCATTTCAAGCAATTGTTACCGATAAACAATTTTATGATAAAAACATTTTCAAATTCGCACCATTTGATTTCTTCTGTTTTGATGAGAAATTTAAACCTAAATTAAAGAATAAAGCTGAAGAAAAAGCACATGAGAAGAAGTTATTGGGTTTAGCAATTGAGAAACAAGGTGATAACATGGTTGCTTTATGCCCTAAGTGTTATACATCATTCAACGGTTCAATTGATGGAAGTGATTTTAAAAAGATTGCACAAAAAATGAAAGGAGTTAGTTTACGACAAAATAAACAATTAACACCTAAAAATTATTTGGATATAATAAATGATAAAGCGATATTTGATGGTCAGAATATTAATTTACAACTTAAAAACGGATTAATGACTCGCTTAACAATCGGTAAGACTGCATTAACAGGAGCACACACTAAGGCTGTATGCTGTGAAAATGGATGTTGTATGCCATTTATTTAATACAATTTAAAATTATATTTTAATGAAATGCCACAGAAGAGACAAAAGGAACCGTTAATGATGGTTTTGATTCTTGATCAAAGAGGTGGGCACCCTTAAAACACTTATTTTATTTTTATATAAATGGATAACGCAAATTTAAAAAATTTAATTGATGATTTAATATTTAATCAAAATTTTCTTAGTTATTATGATTTAAAAGTATATCTCCAAGACTATGATAACAATATAACGGATGATGATATGGAATATTATTATTCATATTATGATAATGAATTTTTGAAATATCATGATAGAATAATTTCTAAAATTAAAGACAAAATTAAAAATAATGAATATATAAAGGGAAAAACTAAATCACAACTTAAACAATTGAAAGATTTCAAAAATAAAGTATTAACAGAAGAAGATATTGATGGATTATATAATTTATATAATCCTGAGCCGCAAAAACAAAAGGAACAAAACGCCCAGGTCCTTCAGACCATAAATGATGCACAAGCTTTAATTTATGATTCATTAGTTAAACCATATTCAGCCCGACTTTTAAATGAAGATCAACTTTTGGAATTCATCCTTCAACATAAACTCGAAGCGGGAAAGTATATCAAACCTTTATATACAGCATATTTAAAACAAATGAATAGAATACATCCAGAATTAATGAAGGGGGGAATGAATTCCAAAATCAAAGCAGATAAAATTAAACCACTTGCAACACCAAAACCTCCAACGACAGTACCTACAACACCAAAACCTCCAACGACAGTACCTACAACACCAAAACCTCCTCCTCCTTCAGTTAATCCTTCATCATTCACTTTATTATATCCATTTCAAACATTAAAGAAGCAAAAAGATTTTAAAAAGGGTTTCAAGATATTAAATAAACCAACTGACCCGAAAATTCAACCGTTAAAGGAAAAATTTAGTCGCCCTTCATTTGCACTATATCCATATTCATACGAAATCGATCATCTGGAATATTCAAAAGGAAACGTTACTTATTTATTTGCCATTAACATTAACACTAGATATTTATATTGCATTCCAGTGAAAGGGAAAACAGAACAGGAAACAAGAAGAGCTATTCAATACTTACTAGATCATGAAAGAGTAGATAATATCAGGGGTGATAGTGATAAAGGATTTCAGGCAACTATGATTCATTATTTCCCACAAATTAATTTTTACTTCTCATCTTCTCCATATACGTTTCATAATAAAATAGTTGATGCAGTAATGAGAACTCTTAGAGATGCGTTAGGGGTTAACGGTCAGATATACTGGGATGGAAATCATGACTCCATCATACAGCAGTTAGTATATTATTACAATAATACATGGCATAGAACTATAAACATGAAACCGGTGGAAATGAAAAATGATATTTCAAAAGAATGGGAATATATTAGAAAGCAAATGGAAAGGTTAAATGATGTTAAACGTGAACAAATTAATTCGGGGCTTATGAATTTTAAACAAGGGGATAAAGTTTTGATTCATCTTGATTATGGAAAAACTAATAAATCAATGACAAAAAGAAGACGAAGATTTGACACAATAGCTGAATTTGTTAGATATATTAACGGCAATGCATTAGTTGAGGTTAACAATAAATTAATAGAAATTCCGATTTATTTTATTACTCCATTATATTTAAATAATATTTAATTATTTTATTTCGTAAGAAATGGGTGACAACGAAGCAGCCAAGAGTCCGGACAATGAATATAAAAAGAAACTAAACAAAATTAAATCAAAAATATGCTATTATAAAAAGAAACCGCAATGTGGTGAGGTTGAAAACGATAAAGAAATAATCGAAAAATTAGAAACTTACCGTTCAATCCTTAAACTGAGTGAAGCAAAAATAAAAGAATTTAATAGAATAAATAAATTGATTGGAAGAGATGAATTTAATAAAGATGAATTTTTAAACTCAATCCAAATTTAATTTTTATTTTTCTTTGACAACATCTCTCTTTCCATCATTACTGCATAACCACATTTTCTCAGTTTTAGTGGTTTGTTATTTTTAGCAAGTTCTCGCATCATTTTTATCGTTTCCTCCCTTGTTATGATTCGTGGTAAATTTTGAGCTTGTGGGGTATCCATTTATATAAAAATAAAATTTTGTTATCAGTTATTTTATCGTTAATGGTTTTCAGGTTATTCAATAATTCATTATTTTTGAATAACTGATGAGGTCACCAGGTCACCAGGTCACCAGGTAATTCAACTTTCTCTGAAAAAATGTGACAACATGACATTTTGACAACAACATAGGGGGATGGTAGTTATGAATTATTTTTGAATAACTGATGAGGTCACCAGGTCACCAGGTCACCAGGTAATTCAACTTTCTCTGAAAAAATGTGACAACATGACATTTTGACAACAACATAGGGGGATGGTAGTTATGAATTATTTTTGAATAACTGATGAGGTCACCAGGTCACCAGGTCACCAGGTAATTCAACTTTCTCTGAAAAAATGTGACAACATGACATTTTGACAACAACATAGGGGGATGACAGTTATGAATTATTTTTGAATAACTGATGAGGTCACCAGGTCACCAGGTCACCAGGTAATTCAACTTTCTCTGAAAAAATGTGACAACATGACATTTTGACAACAACATAGGGGGATGGTAGTTATGAATTATTTTTGAATAACTGATGAGGTCACCAGGTCACCAGGTCACCAGGTAATTCAACTTTCTCTGAAAAAATGTGACAACATGACATTTTGACAACAACATAGGGGGATGGTAGTTATGAATTATTTTTGAATAACTGATGAGGTCACCAGGTCACCAGGTCACCAGGTAATTCAACTTTCTCTGAAAAAATGTGACAACATAACATTTTGACAACAACATAGGGGGATGGCAGTTATGAATTATTTTTGAATAACTGATGAGGTCACCAGGTCACCAGGTAATTCAACTTTCTCTGAAAAAATGTGACAACATGACATTTTGACAACAACATAGGGGGATGGCAGTTATGAATTATTTTTGAATAACTGATGAGGTCACCAGGTCACCAGGTAATTCAACTTTCTCTGAAAAAATGTGACAACATGACATTTTGACAACAGGAATGAAATTTTATGTAGCCCAAAAATAAAGTCAGTTTTAAAATTATTTTTATTTTTTTTATTCCTATATAAATGACAGCAACAAACAACAACAGCAACTATATCGTTTCTGATGAAAAAGTTATTGATTCATTAGTTGAGGAATTAGTTGTGGCAGAAACTAAAACCCTCAACGAAAGAATTGGTGAAAACAAGATTGATTTACATAACTACCTCAAATACGATGGAGGAAGAGGAAGGAAAACTGGTATGGCTTTATTAGTAAATAAAATTTCGAATTTAACGATTATAGATGTTGATATCAATAAATCGTACAATGGTGAACTTAAAGAAACAGTTAGAAAAGACATTCTATCAAAACTTTCGGATAAAGATGTTATCGTTAAAACCGCTTCAGGAGGTCTTCACATTTATTGCAACACTAATTTCTTCTATGCAGTTTCGAACAGAATGATTAAATGTTATTCCTGCAATGATTATGATATTGACATAATGACTTCTATGGATGATTCAAAACGTTCATTAGTGGTTATGGCTGATTCAAGAGTTCGCAAGAATGCAACAGAACCAATCAATACATACTCATTCATTCGTGGAAGTTATGATTCAACATTAACTAGAACAGTGAATGATATATTAAATGATTTGAATATTAAGGTAAGAGTTGAACAGAAGAATGAAGAAATAAAGACTATCATGAATGAAAACAAAGATGTAAACATTGACGATAAACTAGCTCAGAGCATAGTTGATGGCATCTGTGATTTTGAAGTACATAATGACGGTGGAAACATGAATTTAGAAAAAGAAGTTACATTATTCACACTGTTTCAAGCTATTAATTCGTTACCTAATCATTTAATTAATGAAGCATACGATAACGTTTATAACTTCTGCAGTTTAACAGAAAATGCAAAAAGTAATTTTGAAAAAGCACGTGGAAGATATGCACATTTAATGACTTCTCCATTTGTTTTGGTGAAGATTCTAAAACTATATCAAAAGGAATATTATGATGAATATGTTTTGCCTTTATTACGTAAGCCAAAAATAACATTTGACATCAAACTTGATGACTCGTTTTTGATAACAGATATTAGACGCAAGGCTGAAAATCATCAGTATAAAAACAGTTCTGAAGTAATTGAAGATTTATCACGTGTAATCCGTTTTGTAGATTGTGGAAACAAATATTTCATTCAGAAAGATTACAACATACACGACAAAATAAATCAAATATCATTCGTTCTTCAATCAAACATGAAAGAGTCACTTAAAATGATTAAATTATTTAAAGAAGAAGGTAAAACCATAACAGCATGGGATGTACTATTAAATCAATTGTCTTCATTAACCGTTAAGGGTGTTTGCTTTAAATCTGATTTCCCAGATGTTTTCTCAACGTTTCAGGGTTATAAATACAACATTCTCGAAAAGCTTGATTACTCAAAAATTGAGATGTTTATGAATTTCATTAAAGAAGCCATATGCGATAATAACGATGAAGTGTATAAATACCTTCTCGGCTGGATTGCATCAATGATTCAACATCCTGGAATCAAGAATGAAACAGCAATTATTTTGAAAGGACTTCAGGGAACAGGTAAAAACAGATTCACAGACATTATTTCTGAACTTCTCGCTGGTTATTCATGTAAAAACATTACCGAAATAGGTGAGTTAACGGGTAATTTCAATTCAGTAGTTGAGAATAAAATGTTTCTTGTACTTAATGAACTCAAGAATGTAGGTGAAGACAGACTCGCAAACTTCAACGCTTTGAAATCAATTATAACGGATAATGAGATTAGAATTAATGAAAAGAATCAACCCAGAAGAACTGCTCAGAACGTTGCAAACTTCATTTTCGTAACTAATAACGTTTACCCTGTCAAAATTGAAGTTGGAGACAGAAGATATGTAGTTTTAAGAGTTAATGGTAAATTTAAGGGTCAATTTGATTACTTCAAGAATTTGATGAATTCATGCACTAGGGAATTTTATGATAATTTACTGACGTATTTTATGCAATATGACCTTTCATCATTTAATGTACGAATCATTCCGATGACTGAAGCCAAACAAGATTTAATTGAATTATCAACAAATCCTTTAGATGTATGGATAAATACACATTATGATGAATTGTGTGTAGGTATGATGTGTAAAAATGCTCTATTCTGCAAACCATCAGACATGAAAGACAAGAATTTCCAAATGAGTATTAAGGATAAATGTGATAGGAAACATAGAAGAATAGACGGTAAACAAACATGGTGTTATGTTTTGAAAGAAGAAATGAAAGGATTATATAAACAGGTTGAACCAAACGATAATGATGATTCATTTACTGACGATGAAATACCTGTAAATGACGCTTTATAAAGTATGATTGGAATTTATTTTTGCCATCCTCCTATGTTGTTGTCAAAATGTCATGTTGTCACATTTTTTCAGAGAAAGTTGAATTACCTGGTGACCTGGTGACCTGGTGACCTCATCAGTTATTCAAAAATAATGAATTATTGAATAACCTGAAACCATTAACGTAAACATTAACGTAAACATTAACGTAAACATTAACGTAAACATTAACGATAAAAATTTATTTCCTATGTTGTTGTCAAAATGTCATGTTGTCACATTTTTTCAGAGAAAGTTGAATTACCTGGTGACCTGGTGACCTGGTGACCTCATCAGTTATTCAAAAATAATGAATTATTGAATAACCTAGTAGCAGTGAAATAAAATTTTGTTATCAGTTATTTTATCATCGTTTTATTAAGTTCATCTTTAGTTAATAATTTGAATGGATTCGCTAATGTTCCACCTTGAGTCACATCACCTACCCTGGCTAATTGTGAAGAACCTGGGATAAGTACTCCATGAAATGATTTCATTGGTATCATTAATTTAGAAATAGTTGGCTTAATTAATTTTGTCATTTATGATAAAAATAAAATTGCATAATTTAAATTTTTCTTTCTCATTTTCTCATTTTTTACCTTGTTTTGGTTTCAGCAACTTTTCAAGTTGTTGTCTTGTCAGTAACTTTAATTTTAACTTTGGATCAAATATTGAGCGTTCATTGAACTCTATACCATGCGTAAACTGTCATGTAAGGTGGCATGTATTCTTTACTTTGTCCCGTTGTTTGTGTATATCCTGAAACGAAATGTGTATGGTTTCCTTCTCCCTGAGTGTCATCCCAGTAACAATTTATAGCAAACTTAACGTCGTCTTTAACATCATATCCTTTACCTTTTGTCATTCCTGACCAATCCCAATATCTATGCTTATGCCAACCTGCTTGAGATGTACTTAAATCTATGTAGTGACTGTGTGCAGGTAAATTTTCACCTGTAATCGTTTTACTTCCACCTGTTTCCTTTGAAGAGTTTGCACAATACAAAAACCTGTCAACTATTTGTTCCCATGCACCAACACCAAACATTGCTTGAGGACCTCTTGCATCCATAGATGTATAAATAGAACCTACTGGGTTCATTAAATCAAACATATGAGATATTATGGGATTGTCTCTTTTGAACTTAAAATATAGTGCAACTATTTCAGGTTTCTTCTGGTTTGTGTCAGAATATTTTTTATAATATAATCTTATGTTTTCAGGGTGGGTAAAATCTTGACTATAATATTTATTTTTGTCATCTGTATAATAATATACTATTCTCGTTTTTTCTATTGCATTATATCTTTTATATCTATAATAGTCTAAATATAATGTTAACTTTTGTTCATCTACATGTGGTGTTCTGACATCATCTCCATAGTCATAATAATATGGTGCTGGAGCTGGGTTAGGCAATGTCATATCTGCCATTTCATAAACTCTTAAATATTTCTTTTGTTCGTCTCCATATAAGTTTAAGTAACAGTTGTTGTCTAATGGAACTTTAACTTGTGTGCCATCATTCTTTTTATAACTTACATACATTTCATTGTTATTTTTCGGAATAAGTTTACACCGTGCACCATTTTTTAAGGACTGTACAAACTGCCATCTAAAATATTTATTTTCTTCATTGACAGTAAAGTCACCAAGAATAGTTTCAATATTTTTAGTTGTTCCTATCAAACTTTGGTATATTTCGTTAACATATTCCTTATCTGCCTTCTTCTCTAACCCATCATTAACATAAGTTTTATCTGCTTTAAGGTCTAAACATCCTGAAACCCATCCTGTATCAGCTTTAGTTTTTAAAATCTTTGATGTCCATTCATGATACCATTCAACCCTTTCTTTAATTTCATTATCTTTTTCATCAACATAAACCAAATTTACCTTCTTCTCTAACCCATCATTAACATAAGTTTTATCTGCTTTAAGGTCTAAACATCCTGAAACCCATCCTGTATCAGCTTTAGTTTTTAAAATCTTTGATGTCCATTCATGATACCATTCAACCCTTTCTTTAATTTCATTATCTTTTTCATCAACATAAACCAAATTTGCCTTCTTCATTAACTCACTATCCACATATTCCTTATCTACCTTCTTCATTATGTCATTAAGGAAACCTTTTATGAATTCCTCATTTAAATTAAATCTTCCAATCTTCAAAACTTTAGGAAATGCATTTAATGCGTAATATCTTTGTTCTTCTGGTGGAATTGATGTTATATCATCCGTTATACCTTTAATTTTTGAATTCATAAATAAAATTTCTTTTATATTTGATATCACTGCACCACCTTTGCAAACGAATTCGAAATGGTCATTTTTCAATACTATCTCCAAATCTCCATATTTCAACCTTTGTGTTTGTTCTGCCGTCTTTGAATTATATGCATATATGGCGTATGTAATGGTTTGAAGGACCTGGGTGCTTTGTGCCTTAAGTTGCTGTGGTTGCTGTTGTTTAATCATTTATTATGATTTAAAAATAAATATTTAATCTGTTATCTCATCAGCTATTTTTTCTATTTGAAATTGCCATAATATTTCATTCATAAATTCTAAATCACAATCAAATAGGTCAGTTATTCTAAATTTAATATTTGATAAATCTTTTGAATGAAGAATAAATGAATTCCCGGATAATTGAAACGGATATGATAAAGAAAATGTGTTTAAGTTGATGGATAAAATGTTTTGTATTGATGGGTAAGAGTTAGGGTCTAATGTTTGATGTGAAAATCTCATTGGGGTATTAACTTTATCACATTTGATTAAAATGAAATTGGAACCGGTGTCAGAATACAAAACAGCCCCAACATCTTTTTCAAAATTTAATATCCCCAACAATGAACGAAGATGAGGAGTACAAAATTTAATTTTCAGCGGGAATTTAATAAGGTTATTTATTTCATCAAGTTCAAAAAGTTTATCAGGTTTTGATTTAAATTTTTCTTCATACCATACGATAAATGATTCATTTAAATAACTTAAAATCGTGTTAATATCCCATTTCGCTATCACATTATTTATATACATATCATACGTTTTTTCATGGTCATCTTTAATAAATGATATATAATCTGAAGGGTCTAAAAGAATGGGATTAAATTTACCACTCACAGAAACGAGAGTAACATTATAAATTCCGCTAACTGTTAAATTTAATTCACAGTTATTATTTGAAATAATATTGATAATTGACATTTTTATTACGATTAAAAATATGGTAAAGCGTTATTTTCCAGTGATAAATAAAACTAGAATAAGATTACCTCAAGAATTCATAAATTCAACGAATAAGAAATTCATTCATGTTATAAATTTTAGTGTTTTCAGAAAATATGAGTCGATGTCATATTCATCAACAGGTTATATTTCACTTCATTCAAATTTAGTTCAATCAAACCCATATAATGACCATTTCATAAGATTTTCAGATGGTATTAAAAATGTAATTGATAGATTAAAATATGAACAAATTGACAATATCGAATTTTTGGAATTTTGGTTTAAATATCCTGATGGAAAAAAGATTGAAGTTAAAGATAAAGCTGATACTATAACAAAAACAATTACAATGACTGATCCAGATAGTGGGAAACAAAAAGAAATAAAACAAACGATAGAAACTGGTGAAAGGTCAATTATTATTGATTATGATTCAAAGGATTATTATTCGTTAATGTTAATGCTTGAATATTAAATAGCCTTAACAAAGAATTTTTCAAGTGATATTTTATATTCATCAACTATTTTATTATAAATATCATTATATGTTAAATGAAGTTCAGTTGTTGTTCCGTTCTTTGTTATCTTAATTGTGCTAATATCCTTTATAGGATTTATTTTTGCAACTGTTCCACAGCATGAAACTTCATCATCTATGAAAAATTGAATCTTAACGTCTGAATCTTGAACATCACAAAGAATGGCGATAATGTGAATTAATGATTCATAAGGTAAAATAATTAAACCAGATTGGTCAATTAAATTTATTATTGAATCATAATTATTAATTATTATATCATGGTAAATTTTCATTAATTCAGAATTAATGTCTATTTTATATGGGTTCTCGATGTTTGATGAAAGAGGTGGGGGGTATGTTGGATAAGTGGGAATCTCAACAGGTTCTTTACCGGGTTCGGATAAAATGATTGGGTCTCCATTCTCATGGTTTTCTTCATTCTCCTCATCCTTTTTCGGTAAGTCACGAGTTAATAAATTTGGTTGAGTTGCTGACCTCGTTAATTCAGGGCTAACATTAACTTTAACATTTTGAATAATTCGTGATTTATCATCATTTACGTTATAACCAACCGTAATCTCTGCTTTTGCGTTAGTGTTCTTTTGACTAGTGAAACGTCTTCTCATTTATAATCGAATAAAAAAAATATATTTAAACTTTTATTTTGCTGGAACTTTTGAATCTATTATTCCCTGTATTTGTTCATGAAGTTGATTTTTAGCATTTTCATCGAAATTAATAGACCGAATATATTCATTAATTGCATTCTTATAATCATCTGATTTCTCAAATTTTCTTTTATCTGATTCCTTAACTAAATCATAAGTTAAACCTCGTTGCTGATATAATGGTTTCTTAATTAAATCTTTGAATGCTTGAGATAAAGCACCTGATGCAATTCTTGCTACTATAATTGGTTGGAATTGCTGTTTAAGTTCATCTTTAACATTTGCGAAAACTGGATCGAATAAAGCAACTTTAAAGAATTTCTTAGCTGAAATTTCAGGTCTAATATTTGCATATTGACCATCAAACTGGTTGGAATATCGTGGTAATCCATCCGGTCCCTCTTCAATAGCATTTAATTCTTCATTGAAATAAGAATATGGATTATGACGGTATGAATTAATTGGACCATTTTTACCTTCCCCAATGTATTGTTTAACAGCTTTTCCATTTTCATCAAATTGCATAGGATAACGTTCATTATATGCTTTACGTTTAGGATAATCACTTATAGCTAACTTGTAACCATTTATAACTTTAATATTACCTTGACCATCAGTAACGAAAACTTCATTTATACCATCAGGTTTTCCATTCGGACCCGTAATGTCTGCTTCGTGTGCTTCCCAATTTGGACCATGACGTTTAGCATATGCTTGAGCTTCTGGTAATGTTAAAACGTTTCTCATTTGTTTAACATCTTTTTGAAGACCAGCAACAATATGAACTAATTCTTTCATTCCATCGGGAACTTTCATAGTTCTATTATATGCACCCCTTTTGTTTGTCCCTTGTTTTAATGGAACCTGTAGAAGATTTACCATTTCTGTCATGTTTAATTATAAATAAAAAAATAAAAATTAATTATAAAAAGTTAATCAAATTTAACACTTCCTTTATTTAAATCAACTATTATTTTTCCATGTTCACCTAATTGCTGATATTGTGTGTAAAGTTCATTAATGCTCATTGGTAAATTCACTTGATAAAGCATAACGTTCAACTGTTGACGACTAAACCCACTGAAAATGAAAAGGGTTGATAGATTTGATTTAATGTTTGTGCTTAATGCTTTGAAATATTGAACAGCCATAAAGAATGAACACTGAATGTGTCGACATTGAGTTAATAACTGATTAAAATATGATTTCTCATTTGCTATTAGTTTTGATTTCACTGCATCATCTAGAAAAATGAGTGAATGCAAAAATTCTTTATCAAAATTTGAAATGGAAAGTGTTTCAAATAATTCATCCCGTTGTTTATCAATAATTTTATCCTCTAATCCTTGCTTCTTGATTGTATTATATAATTCTTTATACATTAAAAAGTTTTTTAAATAATCTTCTGCTTCTTCTTGTGATAAATAAATAATTGGAATTTTGATTAAATGCTTTAAAGATTCAAATGTATCATCTGAAGGTGAACCTGAACGGTTGATATAAATTAACACATGTGAATGGGGGAAGTGTTAGCAATAATGATAATTTGTTTTAATATCGTTAATGTTTTACCTTTATTCTGTTTACCAATTGCTGCAGTGATTGAATTTAAGTAACATTCAGAATATGGAATTTTCATTAATTTTTCCTTAGATAGAGCATTTCTATTATCACTCAATGCTTCATTAATCATATCATCTACGTATGTATTATATACTCCTGCTAATTCTTCATAAGGGGTGGATGAATTTAAATCCATTTAATCAAAAATAAATTTATAATTTTAAACATTTCTATTCATCAATATTTCATCATATGAACTTCTATACTGTGGTGGTGTACCTGTTGGATGATATTTCAAACCTTCATCCGGTGTCCATGTCCAATATGTAGTCCTAGTAAACCAAACCTGAGGAGGATTTGTCACCTTTGAACAGTAAGTGTCATTTTCACCCTGAATGATTGGATAAGCTTTCACTTGTACTGTAACTTGTGAGTTGAAAGTTTCTAATCCATCAAAGAATATACCCGCTCCATCACGTTGAACTGGAATAGTGCATAAGAATGAAGTTTGGTCTTTCCATGTTCTAGCTAATGGCGTGCCATTATCAGCATTCAGTGGTCTAGTTAATGAGTCCTCGTATTCTTCCGTGCATTCATTCACTCCATCTAAATCAGAAGCTTGAAGCATACGTGTAAAGAATATGTCGCCCACTGTGGTCATCGCTTGATCGGGGAAGTTTCTGGAATCTATAGTGACCTGAAGACCTCGAAGCATTGGATTTTCTAAAACTGTTCTTTGCATTGCATTTTTCGGAAATGTTAACACAACATCTGTAACATTATGAAGAGCATATGAGAAATCTGAGCTAATACCTTCAGGAGTGATGCAACCTCCATTTAGTGAACGAACGTCAATATGTTGAGCTGGAATCATGAATGGATCTTCCTTACTAAATAAACGTGGTATTGCTTTAACTGATTCTTCAATTAAACCATATCCGGGTGTAATACATTTATCCTCTAAAACTTCCATCTTTGTGCATGAAATAATAACGTTATCAACTGTTGCGTCAGCAGATGTAGCGGCTAAGCTTGTAATTAATTTGGTAGGAAGTCCGATTTGTTGGAATTTGCGATCATATTTATAAACATGATTCATAATCTTTTCATAATTTTCATCAGTTATCTTTTCATAAACGTAATTTTGTAAATCAGCAACTCTTAACGGGTCAACCTGACAAAATACTAAAGTATCCCTGAAAACATAATATTTAAGAATGATATCACCAAATGATTTAGGATAATCATCGAACGCCTGAAATGCTAACAAATCATTTACCGGAATAATCATATCAAAAGTGACATCAACTTCTTCATTTTCTTTCTTGAAAACTTCTGAAGGGTCAATATATTTACCACATACTGAGTTATCATATTTTTGAACATTATTATATAACGAATGAACAAACTTTTTAACTTTCCTTTCTGATCTTGGTTTATATGTTGCAAATGCGAAAGATTCACGGGCGCAATCCATCTGAAGATAACCGGCATCACCTCTTTCGGTTTCTACTTCTAATTGTTTAAAGCTTTGATTTGATGATTTGTAACCAACGAATAAACGCATGCATTTAAAAGCGGTATCACATGTGAAAGCTTTATTTGAAACTAGAGTTACTTTAACTTTGCGTTTAATATATGTGTCACCTAATTGATTCACATCATGAGCTGGATTTGTAATTCTTAAATGAGTTTGTTTATCATCAAAATATGGAGCATCAGAGTCATAGCATGAACTTTCAAGTTCTCTATAATATCTTCTACCATCATTCTTTGCGAATATTTCATTTATCTTTTCGAATGAATGAAACACATTTCCATTAATCGGTTTAGTGTTTGACACCAAATAGTTAGTCGTCATTTATTAATAAATAAAAAATCAAAATTAAAAGATGAAAATGAATTTTTAATTTTAATGAAATAATCAACTATGGCTGCAGGATTCTTTAAAAAATTATGGGATAGAGTAAAAAGAGGGGCGAGTAAAGTTTGGGAAACATTGAAGAAGGGAGCAAATTGGATATTTAAGAATAAAGAAGCAATTAGTGACGTTGCTGAATCAATAACACCAAAAGCTACCCCAATAAGAGAAATTTTAAATAAAGGAGAAAAAGTTTATCAAAGACTACAACCGATACTAAGATAAAAATAATATTTATTTATTTTTCCACTATTTACCTCCTATTTTATTAAGTATTCCTTCAGCTATTCCACCAATTGCGTTACCTGCTTGTGCTCCCATCGCCGGATTACCTGCTTTAGTACCTAATACTCCACCTATGATAGTTCCTGCCGTTTTCGCTACTGGTGCCAAAAAGTTTGCAACAGGTTTAATAACCTTTTTATAAACCCAACCTGCAGCTTTCTTAATTCCATCCCATAATTTTTTAAAGAATCCTGCCGCCATTTCTGATTTAATATTAATTAAAAAATATATTTCATCACTTATATTCTAATTTTTATTTAATGATAAATGAAACCGATTTTAAAAATAAATGAAACAGAGGAGGAAGAAATAAATGAAGGTGAAAATGTTCAACAAAAAATAAACGTTGTTAAACCAATTACTGAAATAAAAATTTTTTCATCTGTTGAAGAATTTAATGACTATTATGCTAATAATAAAAAATTATTTGAAGAATTGACAACGTGTAAATTGAATAAAATGTTTAAAGTTGATGGATTCAAAATTTCAAAAATAAAAGGGGTGGTTAGTTTGAAATCTATTCCTCAATCAAGAATCACCTCATTAATGAAAATAGATGATTTAACAAAAAGAATAGAAGAGATTGAAGAAAGAATGAATCAAATAATTGATTTCATAAATTCAAATAATCATTAGTTTCTTAAAGTTCAATGTTGAACTCATCAAATTCTTCATCATCATCATCATTATCTTTAGCGAGTTTATTTATTTTTTCGATTCTATCTTTTGATAGTCTTGCGTTTAATTTTTTCTGAAGTTTTTCGTTACCAAGTTCTAAAATTTTACATGGATGATATTTAAACTCGTTAAATTCTTTTTCCTCACTTTTAATCATTAATCTACAAAGAACTTTAGTGAGGTGATTTTGTTGTTTAAACCATTTATCCTTAATATTTGTTATAAATTCAATATCCGGAATTAATTCCCAAATTTTTGAATTTTCGATTAATTTACCATCAAATGCAAAAGCAATGGGTTTAATATTAAACTTACCTTTATAAAATAAACTTTCTATGTAATCATCAAAATAAACGTCTACTTGTTTAACCTGGGCGAGAATTGGTGAAAGTTTATCCATTAATTGATTCACAGTCACGAATCTTGTTCCGTTCATTTCATGCGAATTAAAAAAATAAATTATTCAAAAAATGTAAGACATGAATTTCTAATTTCTTTTACCCGTTTATGAGGTCTTTGATTATGACTTCATTGATTTCATTCAGGATTTAAACAATGTTTAATTAATCACGGAATATCCAACATCATCTATATATATATAGCTTCTTTTATAAAAGATGAAATAAATTATTTTTATGTATGGGCTGAGTGTAAATGTCTTACGATTTGAAAATTTTTTAAATCTTGATTTATTCAAAAACGTAAGAATAAAAACCGTAAGAATCATACATTTTTTACTTCATATGTTAAAAAAATGATACAAAATCGTTCTATATTGTATGAATTCTTACGTTTACAAAAAAAGTCACAAAACCCGCTATATATACTACTTCGATGATATAGAGAGAATTGTCACTGCTGCTTATGAAACGTAATATCTCATCATATTGATCGGAAAATGTTGATAAATAAAGGTATTGTATGTTATCTAAAGCTTTAAAATCTTATATACGAAAAAAAGAGATCTGACATTGTGTCAGATCTCAGTAAAAGTGACATTTACATGTCAAAAAAATAGAATGAGTTTAAGTAATTAAAATTGAGGGTGAGAGTAGTATTGTATGAAATAATATCTCTCACCCTCCAATTCATCCTATGGCGCCGAAAAAATTTTGGTGAAATGCGACCACATTTCACCAAAATTTCTCGGCGCCATATAGAGAACTAGAGCCTGTGAGGTACTGATACTATCCATGTACCTCGCAGGCTCTAGTTCCAAGCCAAAATGGCTAAAAATTGCCCGCAATTGTTCACATTGCGGGCAATTTTTAGCCATTTTGGCTGGGAATTGGAGGGTGAGAGTAGTATTGTATGAAATAATATCTCTCACCCTCCAATTCATCCTATGGCGCCGAAAAAATTTTGGTGAAATGCGACCACATTTCACCAAAATTTCTCGGCGCCATATAGAGAACTAGAGCCTGTGAGGTACTGATACTATCCATGTACCTCGCAGGCTCTAGTTCCAAGCCAAAATGGCTAAAAATTGCCCGCAATTGTTCACATTCCCATCTTTTGTTGGTAAGACGAAGAATATGAAATAAATTATGAAGAAGATAATGATGAATAAAATATCACTTTTTATATTTTTGACACGTAAAGTTGTCACTTTTCTGTCAAACCGTTTTTATCGTTTTCGTATATAACAGTATCAAATCTATTTGAAAGATATTCGAAGAAGTGATATTTTGAATTGTGAATTTTAATATTGTTTCATTTTGTGTAGATTGCTCGATAATGAAATGTATCAAAAGATTCATTGAATATGAGTCAATGGAAAAGCTTAAATCCTTAGGGATATCCAAAATAAATCTTAATAAAGAAGATTCGTCTTGAAAATTAGCTTCCGAAAGTTCTATTTCAGTCGGAGCTGGAAGATTCCGATCATTTATGAATCTCGAAACGACAGAAAATTTGTATTGTTTATATTTCATTATTCGAAATGATAAACTTCAAAATCTAAAATTTATTTAACAATAGGATGTTTAACACTAATTTTTTAAGGACTTCGACTTTAGCATCACATAAATATGTTATTTTCTATATTAAAACGTAATTTTGGTGGTCTTAGAATAGAAAAATATGCAATATTCGTGGAGATAATGAGGGTTCTTAAACATGTTCTTAAAAATAAATAAAATAATACAAATCTTTATTCAATCTTTTGATATTGTTGGTCCTCTCTTTGTGAAAATACTTAACTTCAAAGAGTATTATGTTTTACCTAGTGAGGACCTTAAGTTTGCAAAAACATAATAAAAGTAAAATAAAAAAGATCGGATTTATCACAAAACTTTGAGTATTATAGGATTTAATATATTTTCTTAGTAGATTATATGATTTAGTTTCTTAAAATCTAAAGTATTTCTTGAGGAAAATATAAATTGAAATTCAAAAAGTAAAAAAAATGTAAACGAATCAAATTTTAAATGGACCAAATGTTGATTTTTCATTCGTTTTCTCATTATCGAAAAAAATTTGGAAAGCTAAGAAGTCAATAACAAGTTATATAATACAACAAAACCCACATCGGATATGTTTTCATCAAATAGTCTCCTAGATTTGTTATGAAATTAAAATATCATGATATTTTAAGGGCTTTTGATTTCAATATTAGAATTATTCAGTTATATCGTGCTAATATCAATTGCTTTATACAATTAATCGTTTACAAGCTGCAAAAATCGAACAATAATTTGACTTTGTAAAAAAAGTGCGTCATTTTTATTCGTTATACTTACAAAATGTAAACATTACGAGAAACATTTACATTTGTAAATGTAACAAGTAAAGTTGTATCGCATAATTTGACTTTGTAAAAAAAGTGCGTCATTTTTATTCGTTATACTTACAAAATGTAAACATTACGAGAAACATTTACATTTGTAAATGTAACAAGTAAATACATCAGATTTAAATTGTAAATGTAGTTTATCTCTCTCATCTCCTTTTTAAAAGGTATTACATACATACGAACGCATGGGTCACTCAATAATTAGCGTGATAATAATTGAGGATAGACTGTAATCGTAATTTTATTTTTGGACTTATATTTCGACATTTTGAAGTCGCTTGAAAGTCTTGCAAATGATTAAATTTGGAAATTTTGACCTAAGTCTGCATTATTTTGATGACTTAAACAATTCTATAAATCTGTTTTCCTAAAAATTTAAAAAGATATAATTTCAATTTCCCTAAATTTATGTAATTCATATATCACCAAAATATTTGGACTGCATTTCGTTTGTCTGCACCTAATTAAAGTCTAAATACCAATTAATTTTGGAGTTGCATTGCTTTTAATGTAAAAATGCACGTTTAGAAAAAGACGATAACGATTAAATTACAAAATCGATAACGACGACGATTAAATTACAAAATCGATAACCTCTCGTAATTAAAAGAATTTTCGCTAAAATTAATTTCAGTTTATGAGATTTCTTTTAACTTGATGGTAATAATGCTCATGTAACATGGATAATAGCCGATGGAGTGTAAATTAAAGTTAACTTAATTGCATGAAATTTAAACATGGATCATGCAGAGGTTAACTTTACTTGCCGAACTATATGGGCAGCAAGAATTGCAAAGCCGAGCATATTGTTGCCAATAAGGTATAAAAAAAATTATGTAAACTATTCAAAATTGAATACTTACGCCTTTTGTTTCGCAGTTTAAATTTTGTCAGATTCTATATACATTAAACTTCGAGCAAAGATCTATATATAGCTCTGACAAATCAGCATTAATTAATGAATATTCGAAATTCAATGTCCAAAATTAAAAACCTTAAATTTTCAAAGGTTATATCAAAGAAATGTGCCCACTCCCAATATTAGCAGCTTAGCTTAGCTGTTCATTCTGGAAAATACCTAGGCCTAGTTATGCATATATCTATAAATATTGTTCGCATCTCTCTTATCGAAGTCAAGTATTAAATTAATTTTTTGAAAATCATATACAATATTCACTTTCCTAATTAATAATAATTAAAGCAAATATGTCTGATTCAATATAATATGATTGGATTCGAATTTAGTTAAATCAAAATCATATTTATGGGAACCTAGTCATTTTAAGTCTTGTAATCTTAATAATAAAACAAATTCATGGAAGTAATTTTAATTATAAAACAAAATCATTCCTTTGCACAGATTTTAAATTGGTGATTTGAGAAATTTAATCAGAACCTTCTGCAATTTTGTGGAAGTCATCATGCTTATTTTTAATCAATGTTATGTATACTACATATAAGGAGTTTAAAATCTGCATCAATATTAATAGAATCCAAAATTTCCATACCAAAATGTAAATGTGATGTGACCAAATATAGTGTTCTCCCCAGAATTATTTTTGCCTTTTTCCTCGAAATTATTATTAAACATCAGATTTCAAATATTAAGAGTGAAATTGAATGAAGCACGTTGAGGATAAAGTGAAAGCTAAGATCACATTTTTTGTGAGTAGGATCACTTCTTATATCAACTATGTCCCTAGTTCATTGTAAGTTATTGATTTAATAACTCAAATTTTGTAGAAGCAAATTAAGGTATGTATGTATGTATCCTATTTAATAAACATGTTATTAATCCAAACAAATGAGTGAACTTGATTCTAAAGATTACAGCACCGATGGTCTTACATTATTATCAGTATCAAGTAAATCACCAAATATCATTATTTCATCGAAATGTGTCACAATCTTCGGAAGTACTGATGACAATTATGCATTCAGAATTGCCAAAGATCTTGTTGAAACATTCACATTTCAAAACAATCCAAATCTCAGATATATTAATAGCTATGCATTCTACAGCTGCACAAAATTACGATCTGTTGATTTATCAATGTGTTCAAAACTTGAAACATTAGGAAGTTATTCATTCTCTAAATGCTCATCAGTTACAACATTCATTTTACCAGAAGGCTTAAAATCAATTGGATATTGCGCAATTAGCGAGCTTAGAATCACAACAATCAACATTCCATCTACAGTTACATATATTAGCGATAATGGAATTTGCAATATGGGATCTTTAAAGAGTGTCACATTCTCTAAAGGGTCACAGCTTACAACGTTACTAAGTAATACTTTTATTAACACAGGTTTGACATCATTTACTTTTCCAGAGAAATTATCAATGGTTCCCGGTCTGACTTTTAGTGGTGTTGGTTCAATTAATGAAATACATCTTGATACAGCCAATAAAAACTTTTTCTGTGATGACAAAGCTCTATATTCATATGACAGAACTGTTATTTATTATTTTGCCTCAAATATAGGTGGAAGTTATAAAATTTTAGAATCAGTCACAAAAATATCTCTTGGATGTTTTTGCTTTACACATCTAAAATCATTAATAATTCCTCAATCTGTAACAGAAATTGAAGGTTATGCATTTTATTATTCAAGTATTTCAAATATCACACTTCCAAGGATAACAACAATTGGAGAATGTACATTCATTGGTTCATCGATTTCAACTATATATATTCCAGATTCAGTTGTAGAAATCGGAACGAGTGCTTTTGAAGGATGTTCAAAATTAAAAATATTAAATTTACCTTCATCAATTAAAACTATCGGAGGTAATGCATTGCCTAATTACGATGATGTTCAAATTTCGTTCTCAGATAATCCAAATCTTTACTTAGATAAACAGTATGTATTATTTACAGATCAAAACACAACAATTTCACAGTTTTTAGGAACTAAAACGGAGATTACTCTTCCCGGTACAGTCAAAATCATTAAAGAGAAGGCGTTCAACGAAAATAAAAAAATTGGTATTGTTTCTTTTGAAGGAGGTTCTAACATCGAAAAAGTCGAAAGTTCAGCATTTCAAGGCTGCACAAATCTAAGTAGATTTGATTTTGGAACTAAAATTATTGAAATCCAAAATAGTGCATTTGAAAACACTATTTTGAATAGTGAGATTTCATTCCCAGAAACAATAACAAAGATTGGTGATTCAGCATTCAAGAATTGTAAATTCATTCCTTCAATTAGATTTGAATCATTATCTTCAACGAGAGAACTTAAATCTTTCTATAACAAACGAAGTTATGAATTATACAAACAATTATATTCTAGTTCTCCATTGACCATCGGCAACGATGCATTTTCATCATGTTCATCTATCAGTGAGATTGCTATTTATCGCGATACAAGTATTTCATTTGGACAAAACACATTCAGTGGTTTATTATCATTGACTCGCTTTACATTTTATAACAACATCATTTCTATTGGCAGTGGTTGTTTCATGAACAGCGGTCTTCGTCATGTCGAATTCCGCGATAACATTATCTGCAACAATATTCTTCCAGCATTCATCTTTAGTGGCTGTACCAATCTTACAGATTTCGATATCCCTACTAACTGCGAAACTATTGACTCATCATCACTTAGCGGCACTAGTATCATCCATCTTTCACTTCCCGACCGTGTTCGTACTCTTGGTGACCAATGTCTCAAAGACTGCCGTGAACTTGTTTCTGTTGACATCAGCAACAGTAGTTCACTTGAGCGCATCGGCTATGGTGTTTTTGACGGGTGCACTAAGTTCTCAGTTGTCTCACCATTCTCATCTACACACTTTGTTTTCGACAGTGGTGCCATCTACAGCAGTGACAAACATCACATGCACGTCTACCCTCCAGCATCATCACGGTCATACTTCTATCTTCTGGACGGTGTCGAAGTTATTGAAGACAGTGCATTCATCGGCTGCATTCATCTTGTCAGTGTTCTTCTTCCCGAAGTCAGTCTTGTTCGTATTGGTTCTAGTTCATTCAAAGACTGCATCAATCTTCGTCATATCACTATCCCATCTAGCATTGTCTCTATTGGTTCCGATGCATTCCGAAACTGTCCTCTTCTTGTTTGTGGTGCTCTTATCCAGAACAAATCTAACAAGACACTTGTTTCACTTCTTTCATCTAGTGGTCTTGAACTCGGGAGCACATCATTCTGCAATGGATTCTCATGCACAGTCCATCCACAATCCACTATCAATATTCCTATTTCTAATATTGCTGTTTTTATATTATTATAAATTATATAAAATTAATAATTTAAAATAAAAGCATTATATAGAATTATTTTTTAAAAAAAATCACTGAACTCATATTTGGCTTTTATGAAAAATATTGATCAGTAAATTTTTGATCTCAGACTAGCTTAGATTTTTGACCTAAAAATGTCTTCATATGTTATGTCATTGATAATCATTTAGAACAACAATAGTGTCTATATGAAATCAGATTGAATGAACATTTAATGAGAATAAAGCAAGCATTTGTAAAAAAATGAAAACAAATTAAGGATAGAAGAAGTTTAATAATAAAATATAAAACAGTTTAAAAATAATTTCTTATTTGAAGTAAGTTGTAGCATGAGGAATCTCTGGATTGCACAATAGCTTTCCACCAGCTGGTGCTGAGAAAGCCATACTTCCATCTTCACTTAAATGGATTGAAATTCTGACTCTTGCTGGAATGTTCTTTGGATCTGGGGGTTTGAGGGTATATTCTTTTGTAACGATTGTATCAGGTTCGAATGCTGATAATTTGAGTTCGATCTCACCTATTTCTTCATCACCACCGAAGATTCTCTTCTTGAAAAGACAAATAACGAGTGAAGATCTGTGGGCATCCTGATACTTGAATTCCCATGTATGGTTTGGATGCTCTCCTTTCTTGAAATCAAAGCCGTATCCCATAAAGCAATGACGAGGACCAACACGCATGACAAGATCTGATTTTCCTTCTAAACCAGGGAATGAACCAGTGTCAACTGCATCTACTTTAACATAAGCGCGAGCACCACTGAGTAATGGCATGTAATTGCCGCCATAGTTGTTATTGCGGAACATAATCAAAAATGAACTTACTGGATTTTGTGAACGTTATCGATTGAAATTTGAAAGCTTAGTATTCAATTAGTTTTGAGTGATAATTAGGTCATTGCATTGGAAATCGATCAATTAAAATTTGTTTTAGGTATATTAGAGAGATAGTTTATAATGAAATTTAATGATTTTGAAACTGTTTTCAAAAAATTGAATATTGTTTAAAGAGATCAACCTATTTATTGATCTTTGTATTCTTCTGAATGATGTAGTTCGAAATAAGTGTTAATTCATCAATAGTCGACCAAAAATTTTGGCCAAAATTTTTCTCAAAAAAAATAAAGAAAATTAGTGATTACTTGTTGTTATGAAATATCCTATTTGAAAGCTCAAAATAATTTTATATGAGGTCTCTCAATTGCTCTGCTTAAAATCTTCTCAAATAATATTCATGGATTCTCTCAATTTTAAATTCCCATAAATTTATTTAAATTTATTCCTCTTTATGATGTGTGTGTCATGTTAATATTAATTTATATTTGAAAGATCAAAAAAGAATTGATGGGAGCAATGAGACAAAAATCTTCAAATGGTTTTGGTAAGATTAAGATGTTCTGATTTTGAAATCTATTGTTTAAGTTCATAATATAGATGGTTTTTTTATAGTGATGTTTAAATTTTTTGGAGAACAAAATTTGCTAAAAAAAAGGGGTTGTATTATTGTCGTCTGGCGGTTTTAGACGACAATGCGAATCTCAGGATTGGTGTGCTTTTTAACTAAATTATTTATATGGTTTAAATAAGCAATATTTATATAAATATTTCATATAGTTATTAAGGATATATAACATATTTTTACAAATAATATATTATGAATATCTTCAAAACATCTTTTTAACCTATAAAATCATGCGCACACATTGTAAATAAGCTATATATGAAAATACAATTCTTCACATAGCAAGTAATAGCTTTATTATTCTGAAATAAATATCGCATTTTATCAATTTGCTGTTCTTTATGATTTGATCTTCTCATGCATTAATATAGCATATAAACTATATGTTCTTTATAGAATTATAGGTAAAATTTGGTATATGCACCCTTTAAAATGTGTATTTAAACCACAAATTCAATTATTTTTCATGATATCAATATTTGCGTTTTCATAGCCAATAATTCTTATTTATTTATGTTTAAACTAATTGGCAATATAAATGGAAATATGTTATATAATATTATCTTGGTTAAATAGATTTTAATATAATATTACCTTAGAAAATGATATAGAACTTTGCTCATGAACATCATTTTTGTTTACCATTAATTGAGTTATTCCAACGCATAAGGCAAGAATCAATTAATTTTAATTAGCTAAATAATTAATAATAGTGATTCTATGAATGGTAAAAATGGTTGTGTCGCGTATTTTGGTGGTAAATATTCATAAAAATAATAATTTAATTTATTTATTTTAAAATTTTATTAATTCTAATCTCTATATTGCTATAAATATCAATAATAGCTTATTAAAGGCATTATAATATACAAATGCAAACACAATTAAACAATATCTCGTAATTCCCCTTTTTAATATATGTATCCAAGTTTCTATCGTTGTTTCTTGAATATATATATCAAAGATATGAATAGCGCTGGTTTTGTGATTGCATAAATAACTTATATATCAATATACTCAGTATAAGTTCATATATACATGATATAATTTGGTTGTCCACTGAATGTATGCTCATATGGTGGATTACTTGCACTTTTTTTCTTTGATGCAAATGTGTCAGATACAATTCCTGATTTGCTCATATGGGTGCAGGGTCCTAGTGATAAACCCTGCAAATACATGAGCAAATCAGGAAAAACTTGCAATTGATTTGAAGAATGTGAATCTAGCCTTATATTTCAGAAAATGATTTTATATTTGCAAGGAATGAGCATCATTCCATGCAAAGGTAAACTCATATTAGAAAAATTTCTTTTTTTTGGAAATGATTATTCTCAAATTCTATCTAAAACTCTCAATTAATAATCACATTCTAGGGCTGTACAAGATTTAAAAAAACATTGCCGGGTTACCGTAGAGGCCTAAAAAAATCGCGCCTCGGCGGCAAGCCGCCTCGGCATTAAGAATGCGCATCTAAATTTTTATATGTCCTTCTTTCTTTTATTTTTCCCTTCCCTTTCTTTTCTTTTTCTTTTTTTTCCCTCCTCTTGCTCTCATTTACCTTTTTTTCCTTTTCTCATCATTTTTCAAAATTTTAAATTTTTATCAAAAATCTTGCCTATAAAAGCAGACTATGGAACCTTTTAATGCCTCTTAATCAATATTATACAGCATAAAGCATATTAAATGAAAGTAATTACGTATAAATTTATTTTATTATCTTATTTATTAATTCTTTAGCATGTATTGTTTAATATTAACTTTTCTGTACATTAAATATGATATCTCCAAAGTATGAATGCCTTGTAACGAAACGAAAACTTAATTTTATGTTGAATATTTGTCACAAACATTAGATTATTAAAATATATGTTGGATATCCCTTAGTATGAGACTTCATGACTCTTGTAGTCTAACGTGAGCTTTGGATTGCAAGCTCTGTGGTTAACGAACATAAATTAATTGTAAAGTTTTCAAAATTTTTCATCGTTTCTATCAGCATCTATTTTTCCTTTAAAATAATATATTTGTATGAATACAATATTTAGTAATTTTTTTATTTCCCATAATTTCATTCAAAATTTCAGAAAAAATTAATTTCTATTCAATATTATTTCAGCTTCAAAACACTTCATTCTTATAGATGTTGATTCACTAAAGTGTGATACTCAATGTCTTATTTCAATGAAAATTGTTCTGCAAATTTATTTCACTTTTGACCTCACTTTTTCCGTAATTCAATTTTTTACTTTTAATATTTTAGATCTTCATAATATCATTTGAAAAATTAACCATATAAAAAAATCAAGTTAACAATTCACTTTTTCCGTAATTCAAAAATCAAAAATATAAATAATATATCTTTTTATCAAATATTATTATTATATTCTATGAAAAATGAGGTCCGGAAATTTTGCGGATTCCCGTAACTCAATTTTACGGAAAAAGTGCAGTAAACTATTCAAAATACGGAAAAATTGGTGTAAACTAATGATTTTACGGTAAAATCACGGAAAGTCCCGGAAGAATATATGTGCCTATATGAAATTATACAAAAATGAATCAAACGCATTTTAAAAGATTGTTCTTGTATTATCAATGCTATTCGCAGATTTATTAGTTGAAGAAAATTACCAAATTTTTGCCGATTTACAAAAAATGATTTACAAAGCATATTTTTATAAGGCTTTAAAAATCTTTAAAATGTGACCGGTGACGGAAATCCATGGTAACCAACCGCGGTTCCCGTTTGGAATGCCATATCACATTCTCATTTAAACCATATATAACATTACTTTATAAATCTAGATTTTTCCAAATTCTTAATTTTCATATGAAATTTGTAATTTTTGATTTTAAATTCAGAATTTTGATTTTTTTTGAAATTTTTGTTTAATTTTATGTTTATTATATTCTTTATGTATAACAATTTTATTCAAGTTTATTTTTTCAATATTTACGATAATTATTAATTCAATTTTTAAACAAATGTTTTGATGGGACGAGCTTACAGATCATAGGCTCATCCCATCAAAACATTCACTTAAAAACTCTGGCCTTCATCGAGGCCAGAGTTCACAATTCATATCCTCGGAGCCAAGTTCCTCGATGGTAGTCCTCATTAGGCACGATCCGAGAGGAACTTGGCTCTGAATGAAACTCACAAGCTCTGGCCTCAGGAAAGGCCAGAGCTTCGCAAAACATCCTCGGGGCCGGTTTCCTCAAAGGCCGCCCTGATTCGGGCGGTCGGAGAGGATTCCAGTCCCGAGAGAACGTCCCTACGAAGCTCGGGCCTTATCAGAGGCAAGAGCCTGCAAGATCAATCCTCAGGGCCGAGTTTTTCCATCTTCGTCATCATGGAAGATGATCTCGTGAGAACTCGGCCCTGAAAGACTTCATATTACAGGTCCTGGCCTCATGAGAGACCAGAACTTCGCAAATAATGCTCAGAGCCGGCTTTCTCAAATGCCACCATGATCTATCGCGAAGCTATGGCCACAATGGAGGTCAGAGCCTGCAAGATCAATCCTCAGGATCGAGGTTGAGGGAGATCGTCCGCATCATTGACGATCTCTTATCATCTCGATCCTGAAAGACTTAAAAATGCAGGATCTGACCTCTACAGATGCTACAACCTCGCTTACAGTTCTCAGAGCCAGCTTTCTCAAATGCTGCCATGATCTATGGCGGCAGGAGAGGAATCTGGCCCTGAGAACGGACTATTACGAAGTTTTGGCCTAAGTAGGGACCCGTTCCTAAAAAAATACTCTCTTCTCAATAAATTAAGTTTTCATTTATCCAAGAAAGCCTTGAAGGAAGTCCAAACCATGAGAATGGGCTTCCTTCCAGGCTTACTGGTACTACTGGAGCGATTTTTGCTTCCATTGCAGCTCCTGAAATATATACTATAAATTATATTAAAAACATTGAGAATTTTGATTTCTATTTCATATGTCCAGCCTATAAAAGCATAATAATGAATATTTCTGGCTCAAATTAGTTGAAAATGCAATTTTGTGCTAAGATTTCCAAAATTGGTTATAAAACTAGACTATTTTAATGAAGAAAACCAATAATAGGATCTCAAGTACTAATATTCATTATGTGTTGTATAAAACAATTAATTCAAATATATAAATTAAAAATGAAACTATTTATATTCATTTTATTAAATTATCTTTTGTTCACAGTAAAATCTAACTATTTCACATTTCAATAACCTGATACTATTGTTCAAACTTTAATAATTGCAATAATAAAGTTTTGGAATATATTCTCTTTATTCATTCTGTGAGATACACAATTAAACACATTGGAAGTAGTATAGAAACATATAGTACAATTATAACACAATGTCAGACACATCTCTTACCATTTAATAAAATTAGATAAAGAATCTCCAAAAATTAAAATATGTGTTTTTGCACTCATTTCTATATTTTATGCATTACTATAGGTATTCCTATATGCACCAACGAATTTTATCTGTTATATGTTAAAAACAACTTTAATCTAATGTGATCAAGTTGCATGATATACAACCATACATCCACTGCATATCCACATGATTCTATATACAATAGAGCATGTTCCTATCTAAATTAAAATGTTAGAAATGAATTGTACGAATTTTAAAACAAAAATTATTATTGTAGTCTGACGACAATAATAGTTTTGTCACTTTTTCTAGACGACAATAAAACATCCTCAAAAAAAAAGATTAGCCAAAGAGTGAGCTATAAGAGACAGCTATATTTATAAGGAATAAATGAGAATATATTGCAAGCATAGCGATCGCGATGATAAAAGTTCCGAAAATTACAAACGTTTTATCCATATTGTTTTAAAACAGTTTTGGTGTAATAACAACAAAAACTAGCTTGTATACTCCTAAATATCAAAGTGTTATTAGGATGTATATTAGGAGAAATCAATAGAGAATTTATCAAACTGAATTTTACATGAGAATGATGCCCAATTAATAGATGTTGTGTAAAATGTTGATCTAATGAAATACTATATGAGTAAATTATAAAGTCAATTATTTTATAACAAAAAAACTGCCACTATCACTAATTACATAGAGTAATTATATATGCTTTAATCATTTTACTTGGGAGAAGCATTTAAGAGACGATCGGATGCACAGATGGGGTTAATGAATGGGGAATCATACATAAAAATGTCAGTTTTGTAAAAAAAAACTATAATATGATGAATTAAATTAAGCAATATTCAATACTTTAGTAATAGAATATATAGTTTTTCCATTCGATATTTAGAAAAAATTGTAATTTATGACCTGATTCTTTGAACTAAATGTAACTATGTTTATATTGAAGCACTTATCATAATACTTTTATGAGAATCACAACATCGTTTTTCTCAAATTAGAATTGCAAAAAAGATAGTTCTTTTAATATGCTGCATGAAAATTATAATTTTCATCAAGAATGTAATCATTTTACATATTAAAACTGAGGATTTGCGCTTTGAATATTCTTTAAAATAAAAAAATCTGGAAAAATTTAATATATTTATCATTAAATATTTTGAATTGAACTGTTTTAAAAATCTGGAAAATGGTTTGGTGGAGTTGGTGCTCATGCAAAAATTGTTTTTCAATGTGTGAAATCATTTCTTAAACAGAAATATCGTTTTTGACACTTATTTTTTTATGGCTCTAACACCAGAGGAAATCAAAGAGTATAAGTCATTATTTGAAGAATACGATACAAATAAAAATGGTACACTCGAAGTAAGCGAAATTTCTTCCATTTTACGCAAAGTTAAGGGACATAGACCCACAAAGAGACAAATCACAAACTTAATGTCAAAAGTAGATAAGAATCATGATAATGTTCTTTCGTTAGATGAGTTCCTCGAAGCAATGTCTCAGATGGCTTTGTCAAAAGAAAAAGAAGCAAGAGAAGTTTTTAATACTATTGATACAGATAAAAGCGGTTCAATTACTAAAGAAGAATTACTCAAATTCATGGAAATTGTAAACCAGGAAGTCTCATTACCTGATGTTGACTGCATCTTTGATAAGTATGATGTTAGTCAAGACGATAAGATCAATTTTAGTGAATTCCTTAAGATGTACCGTGAGCTTGGATTTTAAGCGGATTTCACAAAAATGTGGATAAAAATTTTTAATTTTTTTTATTTTTATAAAAAAACTTATTCTTTTAAGTTAAGAAAAAGTAAGTCGAAGGAGAAATTTAATTAAATTCATATACTTAATGTGAACGGATTAAGGAATATTAATCATTCTAATCGAGTAAGCTTTTAACTTGTAGACATACAAACCCTTGGTGTAATTCTAGTAGACTGACTATTTAATTGAGCCAATTGCTAAAAATCGTATTGCGACCATTTTAATAATGAATAATTTACTGGATCTTTTAGGGTAAGATTACAATATATAGCTTTAAGTTTAAGAACCAGTGGCATTTTAATAACTATACCGAAATAATTGTTTAGGCATCATTTTTTGTAGAACTAATAGGTGCGCAATGCTTGTATTAGAATAAACAAGTGCATGTATCATGCTTTTTCATAAATTATTGGCTGAAATATTTTAAATCTTTGGAAATAATTTTGATTCGATATTAGATATTTTCGAGTTTGGTTACCTACGGTAGATAGTTCATAAATGGAGAATATTGAGTACCTTAATGAAAATGTCACACGGTACACTAATGCAGTGTCTAAATTATATGACTAACAATTTTTTAAAGATTAATACAACACAAAGCTTCTCCATTTTGCCGATTATATTTTACCTAATTCCGGTAATCGAATACCAATTTTTCTAGATTTTATCGCGAATTTATCTTCAGATCACATAAAAAAACAATTTAGTTTTCGATAGGAATTAACATAACTTTCAGTGAAATATTCCGGTAGAGAAACAATAAAAAATTGATTCATCCAATTTTTAAAGCTAATAATTAAATTCTATTAAGATCGAATTTTTTTGAGAGTATTCAATTTCTTTTGATGTAAAAAATTTTTTGAGACGTCCACCGGTTCTTATTCTCATTGTCTTTCTGATAAAAACTCAAGTTTAATCTATCTTTTAAAGCTAGAGAATTTTGAAATCTCGAAAGCCGATTTTCAGAGAAAACGGCTTATCGGAAATTGATGGAGAAATGAATGGTCATTTGATCATTCAAATTTGACCAATATCACCAGTATATTGCAATAATACATATAATCAGATATTAATCCAATCTTATAATTTCAGATGACCTAAGAAATCATGAAAGTACGATAAAATTTCTCAGACTTTATTTTTCCAATATGGAATCAAAACTAACGACACTCAAGTCCATTGAAGGACTCGTCCTTCGCTTCCACGTACGCGTCAACACCGTGTACGGACAAAGCGTCCACATCAGTGGCAATTTACAAGAATTCGGAAACTGGGACCATGAAAAGTCAATTAAAATGTCATTCGAGCACAACTACGACTACTGGACAGTAAACGTTCAGCTTCCACTCAGCAACGAAACACGCGAACTCGAATACAAGTACCTTCTTAAGAACGAATCCCGTGTTGACTTATGGGAACCAGAAAGAAACCACAAGATTACACTCGCTCCAGTTGCCAAGCCAGCTGTTATCAACATTGAAGACCAGTTCCAATGGAAGGACAACGTTCTTGATGCTTTTTCACGCGCTACATTTGTCAGAGCCATCAACTCCCGTGAAAATCCAGTTGCTCCAGAGCCCCTCAAGTTCGACAACTTAAAGAACGACAAGATCCGCGTCTACTTCTCCGCAAACTGCCCTTATGTTCGCGCTCATCAAGATGTTTACATTTCCGGTAGCGTTCCAGAGCTCGGAAACTGGGATGCTAAGAAGGGAGTCAAGCTTGCAGACGGCAAGTTCCCAATTTGGTCCGGCTACGTTGATTTCGAGAAAACATCCTTCCCATTCGACTACAAGTACGTAATTGCCAACAAGGACGGCACATTCATCTGGGAAACAGACGGCAACAGACATTGCCCAGCACCAGTTTCTGTTTCTAAGTACCCACTTATTGATTACGTCCAAGAATGGTTCGTTTGCCCGAACCGCGATCTCTTCAAGGGTATGGGTATCTATGTACCTCTTTTCTCCCTCAGAACAGAGGAATCCCAAGGTATTGGTTCTTATACAGACCTCAAGAAGTGCGTTGACTGCTGCAACAAGATGGGAGCCTCCCTTATTCAGCTCCTTCCTATCAACGATACAACAGATAATGGTGATTGGGCTGATTCATATCCTTATCGTCAAGTATCTTGCTTTGCTCTTCATCCAGTCTACATTGACCTTCTCGCCATCACTGAGAAGCTTCCAGCCGCAATGAAGGAAGAGATTTTGGCCGCTAAGAACAAGTTCGAAGTCTTAGATGAACTCAATTATCCAGAAGTTTTCGCTTTCAAGATGAAGATGCTCAAGCAAATCTTCAAACTCGAGAAAGACGCTTTCGTTAAGAACCATCTCGATGCTTTCGTTACAAAGAATGCTTCATGGCTCAAACCATACGCTTTATTCTGTCTCTTAAGAGATGAATACAAGACAACAGAGTTCAGAAAGTGGCCAAAGTATTCAACAATCACACACAGAGAAATCGATGCAGTTTGCGAACAAAAGAAGAACGAATTACTTGAGATCTACTGGATCCAATACGTTGCTGACAAGCAATTCAAGGAATCCTATGATTACGCAACAAAGAACCATGTTGCTCTCAAGGGTGATCTTCCAATTGGTGTCAACATCAACTCCGTTGAATGCTGGGCTTTCCCAGAACTCTTCAGACTCCACATGTGCGCTGGCGCTCCTCCGGATGATTTCTCATCTGATGGTCAGAACTGGGGCTTCCCAACATACAACTGGGATGCCATGGAGAAGGATGGTTTCTCATGGTGGCGCTCCAGATTATCAAGAATGGCCGAACTCTACCACCAGTTGAGAGTCGACCACATTCTTGGTTTCTTCAGAATCTGGGAAGTTCCTCGTGAAACATGCGTCAGAGGTTTAATGGGACACTTCTTCCCATCACTTCCATACTCAAGAGATGAATTGAACTCATTGGGATTATGGGATGTCGAACGCCTCACAAAGCCATACGTCAGATGGCATCTTCTCTGGGAAAAGTTCCATGAAAAGGCTGATTACATCTCCCACAAGTACTTCAACAACAAGGGATGGTCAGCTAGCGATGACTGGTACGATTTCAAGCCAGAATACAACACAGAGAAGAAAGTTGCTGAAGCACTTGATAACGACAAGACATTGAATGATGGCGAACGCGAACACATCAAAGTTTGCCTCTTCCAGCTTCTTTCCAACGTCATCTTACTCGAAGACCCAGAAAGACAAGGAATGTACCACATGAGAACAGAAGTTATCAAGGAACACGTCGAACTACATAAGGAAGGACCAGTTGTCTTTATCTCATCATCATGGAACGAATTAGATGATGGATTAAAGCGCAAGATCAAAGAAGAAGCTCTCAAGTTCTTCTACGAGAGAATGACAGGAATTTGGGTCCAAAAGGCAGCACCAAAACTCAATGTTCTCAAGAACGCCACAAACATGTTGATTTGCGGTGAAGACCTTGGCCAAATCACAGATGGTATCATCCACGCTATCGATGAATCCGCAATTCTCTCATTGCACGTCCAGAGAATGTCTAAAGTTCCAACAGACGAATTCGATGACTACCACAAATTCGGATATCTCTCTGTCGCTTGCCCATCAACACACGATACATCATCATTGAGAGGATGGTGGGAAGAGAACAAGACAGTCAGAGAGTCATTCTGGTGGAACATTCTCCAGAGAAGAGACTGGTGCCCAGAGACATTACCAGCTAATGTCCAGGAAGACATTCTCAAGCAGAACATCTGGTCCAACTCAATGTGGGCAATCTTCTTGCTCCAGGATATCACATCAACATTCGATGAGTTGAGATTACAGACTCCAGAACAGGAGAGAATCAACATCCCATCTGATCCAAACCACAGATGGAGATACCGCTATCCATTCAAGCTCGAAGAACTCGCTGCTAATGATAAGTTCAATAACCACATCATGCAGATCGTTCGTGATGCTCATAGAATATAATAACTATTTATATATATTTATAATTTAATATTTGGATTATTAAATTCTTTCTTATCTTTTATTTATTTTTTCTATTTATTTTTGAACAAATTGACAATCCAAAAACCAAAAAAAGAATTCTATTTTAAAACAGAATAGTTTAAATATCAATAAGTTCATTGTACTTTTTATGATGACAATCTTCTACGTTAAAATTCATGAATGATGTTGATTAATTGGTTAATAAACAAAATTGCCTAGGGGTAATTACGAATTTATATCAATCAATGGTGACCTTTGGCTCAAGATATTTCAGCAAAACGCACCTGCTTTATTTTCAAGCGACAAAATTATTGCAGCTAACCAAGTTTTCTACATTAATGAAGCAAATAGGTATAGTATTATAGGATATATCGATGATAATTTTAAAATAAATGGTGTATTCAACTTTTTATATCGCTTTCCAATTGAATATCCAGATGATTACTTTTATTTCAATCAAAGCACACACCCACTAATATCTTATACAGTAAAGGACTTCAGGTACAACTTTACAACAAAAAAATGCAATATTGATTACAATCATCAAAATATGTTGAATGGAATTGCAATTTCAAAAAGTCCAGAAACTTTACTTGATGGGATTTATGGTGATAATACAGCTTGGTGGTATGCAATTGGTGTTAACTCACTACATAGAACAGGATTTCCAGGACCTTATTGCGATAATAAAGAATCTACATCATCTCAAACAAGTCAACTATGGATTCGTATTAAAAACAAAAATATTATGAGAAATCTCCCAAATTACGCGATTTGTCATTCAATGCAAAATTTATACTCATTTTTCATTTTTAACCATTATTTGTTATCTACTTCTTATTATGTATTGATATCTTAGTATAAAAATTAATATGTTATTGAATTTTTATAAAATTTATTTGGTAAAATTTTTTTAAGAATTTTTTTCAAAGAACTCATTCAATGGGGAAAAGTGACAGCATTTGATTTCATACCAATGGATACGAATTAATAAATAACGCTAGGTACGAAATCAAAATTATCAATGAAACGAAATGGTTAAAGATATATCATCATAATGCAAGAACATTATTCTCAACAGACAAAGTTATTGCAACGATGCAAGTTTATTACATCAATGAAACGGATCGATTTAGTGTTATTGGTTACATTGACGACAATTTCAAGATTAATGGCCTTTACAACTTCTTATTCCACTTTCCAGACGATTATCCCGACGACTTCTTTTACTTCAACCAAAGCACGCATCCTCTTACATCCACCACAGTTCAAAATTTCCATTACATTTTTGATAATAAAAAATGCTTTCCCAATCCGAATCTAGTCTCTATTCTCAATGGGTTGGCAAAATCTTCTGAATCTGGTGCAGTATTAGATGGAAATGTAGAATTTGATCAATGGTGGTATTCTATTGGTACTAATAGCTATTATTTAAAACAAGGAAAAATTCCGGGACCATGTTGTGCTAATCTTCAAGATTCTGTTACACATACGAATGATTTATACATTAAGATAATTGATGAATCAATATTGAGGTTTCTTCCTCCTTTTCATGAACCTCTCTGTCTCTCGAATGTTCTAAAATACCAAAATAGATGTTATTTCCATCTTAATTTCTTCGAAATCTTTATTGTTTTAATATCAGAGTAAAACATATTTTACATTTTGTTGTATTTCTTTTCATCATCGATTTTTTGAAATAACACTGTGAAATATTTGAAATAAAAATGTAAAATCTATCAAATTTTTTCATACGATATTTTTGATGATCAAACATCCTCCATAATAATGGATATGAAATCAAAATCATCAACAACACAAAATGGTTAAAGATATATCATCATAATGCAAGAACATTATTCTCAACAGACAAAGTTATTGCAACAACAGAAGTTTATTACATCAATGAAACCGATCGATTTAGTGTTATTGGTTATATTGACAACAATTTCAAGATTAATGGTCTTTACAACTTCTTATTCCACTTTCCAGACGATTATCCGGACGACTTCTTTTACTTCAACCAAAGTACGCATCCTCTTACATCGACCACAGTCCAAGACTTCCATTACATTTTTGATAATAAAAAATACTTTCCCAATCCGAATTCTCGCAATATGCTCAACGGTTTAGCAATATCTTCTGAATCTGGTGCTGTACTAGATGGAAACGTAGAATTAGATCAGTGGTGGTACTCTATTGGTACAAGTAGTTCCTTTTCTATTGCAGGCCGAATTCCAGGGCTGAGAATTCTGAGACAGTAATAAATGATTTATATATTAAGATAATTGATGAATCAATATTGAGGTTTCTTCCTCCTTTTCATGAACCTCTCTGTCTCTCGAATGTTCTAAAATACCAAAATAGATGTTATTTCCATCTTAATTTCTTCGAAATCTTTATTGTTTTCATATCAGAATAAAATATATTTTACATTTTTTGTATTTCTTTTCATTATCGACTTTTTTGAAATAACACTGTGAATTATTTGAAATAAAAATGTAAAATCTATCAAATTTTTTCATGCGATATTTTTGATGATCAAACATCCTCCATAATAATGGATATGAAATCAAAATCATCAACAACACAAAATGGTTAAAGATATATCATCATAATGCAAGAACATTATTCTCAACAGACAAAGTTATTGCTACAACAGAAGTTTTTTACATCAATGAAACGGATCGATTTAGTGTTATTGGTTACATTGACAACAATTTCAATATTAATGGTCTTTACAACTTCTTATTCCACTTTCCAGACGATTATCCGGACGACTTCTTTTACTTCAACCAAAGCACGCATCCACTTAAGTCATATACAGCTCAAGATGTTAGTATATCACTTGTAACCGATATCTGTCATCTAAACCCTCGCGCTAACGAAATGCTTAATGGACTTGCAATTTCGGCAGTTCAATATGCCGTATTAGATGGAAATGTTGAAAAGTCTGGCTATTGGTGGTTTTCAATAGGTACAAATTCTTATTATAAGAATAATCGAATTCCAGGTCCATTTTGTAATGATTCTATTAACTCTGTAACTAAAACAAATGATTTGTGGATCAAAATAAAAGATATGTCAATATTGAAACTTCTTCCTCGAAATCAAAATTTCGCTTGAATTTCGAATGTCAATCGATATCAAAAGTTCTATTTGTTTCCTTTTAGTTACTCCGATATCTTTATTCTTTTCATTTCAGAATAAAAGCTTTGTATTTTACAAATTAAAAATTTGTTACATTTGAGAGGGCTTCAGCCCTCTCAAATGTCACAAATTTGAATTCTTGCTGTCTTGAATTTTGAGTTTTGCACTTTTTGCAGAAGAATTTGTTACATATCATATGTTTAGGTTATTATAAACATGACTTACATAAAAGAAATTCAAGACTCATTGTGTGGTCATTTCACTTTCCAATGATGATTTTTTGAGAATTTCTTGTTCATTTATTGGTATCCGTATTCCATTTCGTGAAGTCCAGCATTCTCATAGATATTCGAAGCATAATGACACCGCAGATATCGAAAATCAATTCGAAATTATATCTTCGAATTCCAAATTTCGTATTTCGGTGATTTGCTTTCATAGAAGTTATTGGCATAATGACCCCGCTGATCTTAACGTTAATCATTTTACAGAAATTATAGAATTGTTAATTTTAGAGTAAAGATTTATTTTTCTTCACAAAAGTCTCACTTTTTCAATAACGTAAACCTATGAAATGTAACAAATTCTTCGAAAAAAGTGCAAAATTCAACTCAAAATTCAATACAGCAAGAATTAATTTTTTTTTCTTTGATTTTTAACTAGTATTGAAACAAAGAGGTGTGTCTGTGTAATCAGCTGTGGGTATTTCAACAGACAAAGTTATTTCATGAAGCCTATAAGGTCGAGAAAGACAATGATTTTTTTTGGTAAAAATTTTACTCAAAAAGTGACGGATTTCTAATTTCGCTCTCAAAATTATGAATAGGATTTGATTAATATCAGCGAATATGAAATTAAAATTATCAATGAAACGAAATGGTTAAATATATATCATCACAATGCAAGAACATTATTCTCATCAAACAAAGCACTTGCAACGATAGTAGTAGGATAAGGCGGGGTGTGTGACTTTTTTTGTAAACGTAAGAATTCATACAATATCGAGCGATTTTGTATCATTTTTTAACATATTAATTTTAAAATAATTTATTTTTTTATTCTTACATAAATGACCCAACAAGTAAAACCAGATAAAATAGATTATCGAATTTTAGAGGATGGTGTTCCTGTTTATATTCAAAGATTTAAAGGGAAGCAATATTATAGAATTGTTAATCCTGAATACATAAAACATTTATTTAAAAAGGAAGACTGTGAATTATTAAACGTTAATGAATATGAAACCAATAAATCAAAATTGAAATATAAATATATTGGAAGTGATGAAAGATGCAAAGATAAAGATAAAGTTTATACAGTTTCATATAATGAATGGAAAACCAATAAGATAAGAAAACATTTAGGAGATTATGGTAAAAGTTCTGAATTCTTCAAATCTAGTATGTACGAGAGAGTAAAAGAAATTGAAAATAATTATTTTCATGAATGAAAAAATAAAAATTCATGTCTCAGAATCATCATTGAACTTTAAGAAACTAATGATTATTTGAATTTATGAAATCAATTATTTGATTTACTCTTTCTTCAATCTCTTCTATTCTTTTTGTTAAATCATCAATTTTCATTAATGAGGTGATTCTTGATTGAGGAATAGATTTCAAACTAACCACTCCTTTTATTTTTGAAATTTTGAATCCATCAACTTTAAACATTTTATTCAATTTACACGTTGTCAATTCTTCAAATAATTTTTTATTATTAGCATAATAGTCATTAAATTCTTCAACAGATGAAAAAATTTTTGTTTCAGTAATTGGTTTAACAACGTTTATTTTTTGTTGAACATCTTTACTTTCATTAATTTCCTCCTCTGTTTCATTTATTTTTAAAATCGGTTTCATTTATCATTAAATAAAAATTAGAATATAAGTGATGAAATATATTTTTTAATTAATATTAAATCAGAAATGGCGGCAGGATTCTTTAAAAAATTATGGGATGGAATTAAGAAAGCTGCAGGTTGGGTTCATAAAAAGATTATTAAACCCGTTGCAAACTTTTTGGCACCAGTAGCGAAAACGGCAGGAACTATCATAGGTGGAGTATTAGGTACTAAAGCAGGTAATCCGGCGATGGGAGCACAAGCAGGTAACGCAATTGGTGGAATTGCTGAAGGAATACTTAATAAAATAGGAGGTAGATAGTGGAAAAATAAATTATTTTAAAATTATTTTTATCTTAGTATCGGTTGAAGTCTTTGATAAACTTTTTCTCCTTTATTTAATATTTCTCTTATTGGGGCAGCTTTTGGCGTTATTGATTCAGCAACGTCACTAATTGCTTCTTTATTCTTAAATATCCAATTTGCTCCCTTCTTCAATGTTTCCCAAACTTTATGCGCTCCTCTTTTTACTTTATCCCACAGTTTCTTAAATATACCTGCAGCCATAGTTGATTATTTCATTAAAATTAAAAATTCATTTTCATCTTTTAATTTTGATTTTTTATTTAATAATAAATGACGACTAACTATTTAGTGCCAAACACTAAACCGATTAATGGAAATGTGTTTCATTCATTCGAAAAGATAAATGAAATATTCGCAAAGAATGACGGTAGAAGATATTATAGAGAACTTGAAAGTTCATGCTATGACTCTGATGCTCCATATTTTGATGATAAACAAACTCATTTAAGAATTACAAATCCGGCTCATGATGTGAACCAATTAGGTGACACATATATTAAACGCAAAGTTAAAGCAACTCTAGTTTCAAATAAAGCTTTCACATGTGATACCGCTTTTAAATGCATGCGTTTATTCGTTGGTTACAAATCATCAAATCAAAGCTTTAAACAATTAGAAGTAGAAACCGAAAGAGGTGATGCCGGTTATCTTCAGATGGATTGCGCCCGTGAATCTTTCGCATTTGCAACATATAAACCAAAATCAGAAAGGAAAGTTAAAAAGTTTGTTCATTCGTTATATAATAATGTTCAAAAATATGATAACTCAGTATGTGGTAAATATATTGACCCTTCAGAAGTTTTCAAGAATGCAAATGAAGAAGTTGATATCACTTTTGATATGATTATTCCGGTAAATGATTTGTTAGCATTTCAGGCGTTCGATGATTATCCTAAATCATTTGGTGAAATCATTCTTAAATATTATGTTTTCAGGGATACTTTAGTATTTTGTCAGGTTGACCCGTTAAGAGTTGCTGATTTACAAAATTACGTTTATGAAAAGATAACTGATGAAAATTATGAAAAGATTATGAATCATGTTTATAAATATGATCGCAAATTCCAACAAATCGGACTTCCTGCCAAATTAATTACAAGCTTAGCCGCTACATCTGCTGACGCAACAGTTGATGACGTTATTATTTCATGCACAAAGATGGAAGTTTTAGAGGATAAATGCATTACACCAGGATACGGTTTAATTGAAGAATCAGTTAAAGCAATACCACGTTTATTCAGTAAGGAAGATCCATTCATGATTCCAGCTCAACATATTGACGTTCGTTCACTAAATGGAGGTTGCATCACTCCTGAAGGTATCAGCTCAGATTTCTCATACGCTCTTCATAATGTTACAGATGTTGTGTTAACATTTCCGAAGAATGCAATGCAAAGAACGGTTTTAGAAAATCCAATGCTTCGAGGTCTTCAGGTCACTATAGATTCCAGAAACTTCCCCGATCAAGCGATGACCACAGTGGGCGACATATTCTTTACACGTATGCTTCAAGCTTCTGATTTAGATGGAGTGAATGAATGCACAGAAGAATACGAGGACTCATTAACTAGACCACTGAATGATGATAATGGCACGCCATTAGCTAGAACATGGAAAGACCAAACTTCATTCTTATGCACTATTCCAGTTCAACGTGATGGAGCGGGTATATTCTTTGATGGATTAGAAACTTTCAACTCACAAGTTACAGTACAAGTGAAAGCTTATCCAATCATTCAGGGTGAAAATGACACTTACTGTTCAAAGGTGACAAATCCTCCTCAGGTTTGGTTTACTAGGACTACGTATTGGACATGGACACCGGATGAAGGTTTGAAATATCATCCAACAGGTACACCACCACAGTATAGAAGTTCATATGATGAAATATTGATGAATAGAAATGTTTAAAATTATAAATTTATTTTTGATTAAATGGATTTAAATTCATCCACCCCTTATGAAGAATTAGCGGAGTATATAATACATACGTAGATGATATGATTAATGAAGCATTGAGTGATAATAGAAATGCTCTATCTAAGGAAAAATTAATGAAAATTCCATATTCTGAATGTTACTTAAATTCAATCACTGCAGCAATTGGTAAACAAAATAAAGGTAAAACATTAACGATATTAAAACAAATTATCATTATTGCTAACACTTCCCCCTATTCACATGTTTAATTTATATCAACCGTTCAGGTTCACCTTCAGATGATACATTTGAATCTTTAAAGCATTTAATCAAAATTCCAATTATTTATTTATCACAAGAAGAAGCAGAAGATTATTTAAAAAACTTTTTAATGTATAAAGAATTATATAATACAATCAAGAAGCAAGGATTAGAGGATAAAATTATTGATAAACAACGGGATGAATTATTTGAAACACTTTCTATTTCAAATTTTGATAGAGAATTTTTGCATTCACTCATTTTTCTAGATGATGCGTGAAATCAAAACTAATAACAAATGAGAAATCATATTTTAATCAGTTATTAACTCAATGTCGACACATTCAGTGTTCATTCTTCATGGCTGTTCAATATTTCAAAGCATTAAGCACAAACATTAAATCAAATCTATCAACACTTTTCATTTTCAGTGGGTTTAGTCGTCAACAGTTGAACGTTATGCTTTATCAAGTGAATTTACCAATGAGCATTAATGAACTTTACACACAATATCAGCAATTAGGTGAACATGGAAAAATAATAGTTGATTTAAATAAAGGAAGTGTTAAATTTGATTAACTTTTTATAATTAATTTTTATTTTTTATTTATAATTAAACATGACAGAAATAGCAAATCTTCTACAGGTTCCATTAAAACAAGGGACAAACAAAAAGGGTGCATATAATAGAACTATGAAAGTTCCTGATGGAATGAAAGAATTAGTTCATATTGTTGCTGGTCTTCAAAAAGATGTTAAACAAATGAGAAACGTTTTAACATTACCAGAAGCTCAAGCATATGCCAAACGTCATGGTCCAAATTGGGAAGCACACGAAGCAGACATTACGGGTCCAAATGGAAAACCTGATGGTATAAATGAAGTTTTCGTTACTGATGGTCAAGGTAATATTAAAGTCATAAATGGTTATAAATTAACTATGTCTGATTATCCTAAACGTAAAGTATATAATGAACGTTATCCTATGCAATTTGATGAAAATGGAAAAGCTGTTAAACAATACATTGGAGAAGGTGAACATGGTCCAATTAATTCATACCGTCATAATCCATATTCTTATTTCAATGAAGAATTAAATGCTATTGAAGAGGGACCGGATGGATTACCACGATATTCCAACCAGTTTGATGGTCAATATGCAAATATTAGACTGAAATTTCAGCTAAGAAATTCTTTAAAGTTGCTTTATTCGATCCAGTTTTCGCAAATGTTAAAGATGAACTTAAACAGCAATTCCAACCAATTATAGTAGCAAGAATTGCATCAGGTGCTTTATCTCAAGCATTCAAAGATTTAATTAAGAAACCATTATATCAGCAACGAGGTTTAACTTATGATTTAGTTAAGGAATCAGATAAAAGAAAATTTGAGAAATCAGATGATTATAAGAATGCAATTAATGAATATATTCGGTCTATTAATTTCGATGAAAATGCTAAAAATCAACTTCATGAACAAATACAGGGAATAATAGATTCAAAAGTTCCAGCAAAATAAAAGTTTAAATATATTTTTTTTATTCGATTATAAATGAGAAGACGTTTCACTAGTCAAAAGAACACTAACGCAAAAGCAGAGATTACGGTTGGTTATAACGTAAATGATGATAAATCACGAATTATTCAAAATGTTAAAGTTAATGTTAGCCCCGAATTAACAAGGTCAGCAACTCAACCAAATTTATTAACTCGTGACTTACCGAAAAAGGAGGAGAATGAAGAAAACCATGAGAATGGAGACCCAATCATTTTATCTGAACCCGGTAAAGAACCTGTTGAAATTCCCACTTATCCAACATACCCCCTCCTTTTTCATCAAACATCGAGAACCCATATAAAATAGACATTAATTCTGAATTAATGAAAATTTACCGTGATATAATAATTAATAATTATGATTCAATAATAAATTTAATTGACCAATCCGGTTTAATTATTTTACCTTATGAATCATTAATTCACATTATCGCCATTCTTTGTGATGTTCAAGATTCAGACGTTAAGATTCAATTTTTCATAGATGATGAGGTTTCATGCTGCGGAACAGTTGCAAAAATAAATCCTATAAAGGATATTAGCACAATTAAGATATCAAAGAACGGAACAACAACTGAACTTCATTTAACATATAATGATATTTATAATAAAATAGTTGATGAATATAAAATATCACTTGAAAAATTCTTTGTTAAGACTATTTAATATTCAAGCATTAACATTATCGAATAATAATCCTTTGAATCATAATCAATAATAATTGACCTTTCACCAGTTTCTATCGTTTGTTTTATTTCTTTTTGTTCCCCACTATCTGGATCGGTCATTGTAATTGTTTTTGTTATAGTATCAGCTTTATCTTTAACTTCAATCTTTTTTCCATCGGGATATTTAAACCAAAATTCCAAAAATTCGATATTGTCAATCTGTTCATATTTTAATCTATCAATTACATTTTTAATACCATCTGAAAATCTTATGAAATGGTCATTATATGGGTTTGATTGAACTAAATTTGAATGAAGTGAAATATAACCTGTTGATGAATATGACATTGACTCATATTTTCTGAAAACACTAAAATTTATAACATGAATGAATTTCTTATTCGTTGAATTTATGAATTCTTGAGGTAATCTTATTCTAGTTTTATTTATCACTGGAAAATAACGCTTTACCATATTTTTAATCGTAATAAAAATGTCAATTATCAATATTATTTCGAATAATAACTGTGAATTAAATTTAACAGTTAGCGGAATTTATAATGTTACTCTCGTTTCTGTGAGTGGTAAATTTAATCCCATTCTTTTAGACCCTTCAGATTATATATCATTTATTAAAGATGACCTTGAAAAAACGTATGATATGTATATAAATAATGTGATAGCGAAATGGGATATTAACATGATTTTAAGTTATTTAAATGAATCATTTATCGTATGGTATGAAGAAAATTTTAAATCAAAACCCGATAAACTTTTTGAACTTGATGAAATAAATAACCTTATTAAATTCCCGCTGAAAATTAAATTTTGTACTCCTCATTTTCGTTCATTGTTGGGGATATTAAATTTTGAAAAAGATGTTGGGGATGTTTTGTATTCTGACACTGGTTCCAATTTCATTTTAATCAAATGTGATAAAGTTAATACCCCAATGAGATTTTCACATCAAACATTAGACCCTAACTCTTACCCATCAATACAAAACATTTTATCCATCAACTTAAACACATTTTCTTTATCATATCCGTTTCAATTATCCGGGAATTCATTTATTCTTCATTCAAAAGATTTATCAAATATTAAATTTAGAATAACTGACCTATTTGATTGTGATTTAGAATTTATGAATGAAATATTATGGCAATTTCAAATAGAGAAAATAGCTGATGAGATAACGGATTAAATATTTATTTTTAAATCGTAATAAATGATTAAACAACAGCAACCACAACAACTTAAGGCACAAAACACCCAGGTCCTTCAGACCATTACATACGCCATATATGCATATAATTCAAAGACGGCAGAACAAACGCAAAGGTTGAAATATGGAGATTTGGAGATAGTATTGAAAAATGAACATTTCGAATTCGTTTGCAAAGGTGGTGCAGTGATATCAAATATAAAAGAAATTTTATTTATGAATTCTAAAATTAAAGGAATAACGGATGATATAACATCAATTCCACCAGAAGAACAGAGATATTACGCATTAAATGCATTTCCTAAAGTTTTGAAGATTGGAAGATTTAATTTAAATGAGGAATTCATAGAAGGTTTCCTAAATGACATAATGAAGAAGGCGGATAAAACATATGTGGATAGTGAGTTAGAGAAGAAGGCAAATTTGGTTTATGTTGATGAAAAAGATAATGAAATTAAAGAAAAGGTTGAATGGTATCATGAATGGACATCGGAGACTTTTAAAGTTAAAGCTGATACAGAATGGGTTTCAGGATGTTTAGATCTTAAAGCAGATAAAACTTATGTTAACGATGAGTTAGAGAAGAAGGCAGATAAAACATATGTTAACGATGAGTTAAATAAGAAGGCGGATAAAACATATGTGGATAGTGAGTTAGAGAAGAAGGTGGATAAAACATATGTTAACGATGAGTTAAATAAGAAGGCGGATAAAACATATGTGGATAGTGAGTTAGAGAAGAAGGTGGATAAAACATATGTTAACGATGAGTTAAATAAGAAGGCGGATAAAACATATGTTAACGAAATATACCAAAGTTTGATAGGAACAAAAAATATTGAAACTATTGTTGGTGATTTTTCTGTCAATGAAGAAAATAAATATTTTAGATGGCAGTTTGTACACTCCTTAAAAAATGGTACAGAGTGTAAACTCATTCCGAAAAATAACAATGAAATGTATGTAAGCTATAAAAAGAATGATGGTACACAAGTTAAAGTTCCATTAGACAACAACTGCTACTTAAACTTATATGGAGACGAACAAAAGAAATATTTAAGAGTTTATGAAATGGTAGATATGACATTGCCTGACCCAGCTCCAGCGCCATATTATTATGACTATGGAGATGACGACAGAACACCACGTGTAGATGAACAAAAGCTAACATTATATTTAGATTATTATAGATATAAAAGATATAATGCAATAGAAAAAACGAGAATAGTATATTATTATACAGATGACAGAAATAAATATTATAGTCAAGATTTTACCTAC